ACCATCATCACCATCATCATCATCATCATCATCATCATCATCATTGATTGTTTTATATGATCAATTATGTAAATCATTTCATTGTATCTATTTATGGTTATATGAATTATATCAAGTTATTTATGGATTAAATATGCATTTATCAAATCATGTTAATGCATGTTGGAGTAAATTTATTAAATATTTAGGATTATCTAATACATTATATAATTTTATGTCTGATGGTAATTCATTTAAATTAGATAAATCTATGTTAGACAATGAAGAATTTATTAAAAATGAACAAATTAACAATTTGAACATGTTGTTTCATATACATGAAAATTATTTAAATGAAATTTTATCTGGGTAAATTTTATTTTTATTTTTTTTATTCTTTTTCTTTCACACACCCCCCCTTCATTATTATTTGTGTATATTGAATTATGGATGATTTGTTTATTTATTTATTTCAACACATAAATATTGGTACAAGAGGGCACCAAATATATAAACGCCACACAAATCTCATTTAATATGTGTGCCCAAACTAAAGCACGTGGTTTCCTTAGGGGACCACACCCTGAGCCTTCGACTTGAAGATCTGACCCACAAGGCAGTGAAGCATCGTAAGGAGATGCAGTCTCATGGTAGCCGGTGACCAACGATTGATTCACACGCCATTTGTTCCCTCAGGCAGGATACTGGAGCCGGCCCATGTACACGATTGGTTTGGGATCCGGTTAAAGCGCCGGACATTCGTTTTTCTTCCTCTCATTTTCGTCGACAACACAACCGCCACGAGAAGGCAGTGAGTAGGACTTCCCTGGCAGGGGCTGTATACGCGTGGCCGTGTGGGAGCATTTCGAGAGGGAGGGTGGGCCCACCCTACTCTCGGTCATACCAGGGCATTTGGGGGCTGCGGATTATGTAGAAATGTCTTCTGAATTTGATATAGTCAATTATAATTTATTACAATGCTTGTTCATAATTAAAAAAGTTTAAATTTAATGTTAATTATATTTATAAATGAAAGTTTATAAACGAGTACTTCTTTTTTTACTTAGTTGTAATTGATTAGTCAGTTGATTGCCCCCAAATGCCCTGATATGGCTGAGAGTGGAGTGGGCCCACCCTCCCTCTCGAAATGCTCTCACATGGACACGCGTATACAGCCTCTGCCAAGGAAGTCCTACTCACTGCCTTCTCGTGGCATTACTGTTGTTTACGAAAATGAGAGGACGGAAAGCGAACGTCCGGCGCTTTAACCGGATCCCAATTCAATGGTGCACATGGGCCGGCTCCAGTATTCTGAAGGAACAAATGGCGTGTGAACCAGTCTTTGGTCACCGGCTACCATGGGACTTCATCTCCTTACGATGCTTCACTGCCTTATGGATCAGACCTTCAGGTCGAAGGCTTGAGGTGTGGCCCCCTAAGAAAACCACCTGGTTCGATCTGGGCACCCAGATAGTATCACAGCCCACACACAAATCTCATTTAATTTGTGTGGCGTTTATATATTTGGTGCCCTCTTGTACCAATATTTATGTGTTCAAATAATAAAATAAATAATAAAGTCAGTTTATCATAATATGTATCGTTCAACTTTTTTTGCAGACTATATTACCACTTTTTCAATTTAAATCACTTATATTTAAATACTAAAGGAATGAATAGCTCTGAAATGAAGTTATGAGATTAAGGTTCATGGACGTTATAGGGAACAAATAAAGAAATAAATTCAAAATTTACAGTAGATAATAGTAGTTTCAGTCTACTTTCTACACTTGTTGTTGCGTGTACTATCTAACTCTGTGTGTATGAAGCTTCTTTAAACAGAAACTGGATTCTTAGTTAGAATCTTAGCTTCATATTCCCTTCAGTTGATGACAGGCTGTTATCAGCATGAATGTATATAAATTTAAATCTTTAAAGTAATAATGTTATGGACAGGCTGTTCGCCATTACTATGTAAAGATTATGGACTTTAAATCAGTTAGTTATTTGTTTATAAGATTCACTTCAATGTTTAATTATGTAAATTTCCATTTGTGAATCTCTGGGTCGTACTCTAACTGTTCATATTTCAGTGTTCGCTAATGTTTATACTCGTTAGTCTGTATTTCGTTTGCTAATCTTAACATTGATTAAAATAACAGTACGACTTTATTTTTCTACCACCTATGTTTTTGATACTGACTGTGTTTAAATATGGTTACCTTTGTTTGCATATGTGTACTTATGAAGTTGGATACTAATAATGTTGTTCATATTTTAATTTTCTTTTAGGCTTTTGTTGGATGTATCAGATAGTGAATTAAATCAACTTTTCCAAGGTTTGCTGACATGTGCACATCAGTTTCATCGTGCTTTATTAACAGGAAGATGGATTGTTAAATCATCGCATCATCAGTTTAGTGATATTGATGGTACTGAACAACAGTTATCGGGTAATGAACAGATTGAACATACAGAATGGAGGCAATTGTATGCGGTTCATGCAAGTTTTCGAAGTTATAGTCAATTTTTAAGACGTCGTGTTAATCGATTACTTGTTCATGATACTACTGATGGAGGTAGCAGTGTTAGAAGTGCTAGGTTAAAATTAGCACAGTTAACTATAATATTTGGTTTAAATGATTTTTATACTTCAAAAAATGCTGAACTAAATATTATTTGATCGTTTTTTGTTTTTCTTTCTATATTTTAATTCCACAAAAAAATTATTTATTCAACAATGAACAAGAACTTTTCTGTAAAATTTTATTTCTATTCTAAACTTTATTATTTTTTTTACATTTGATCTTTATATTACATTTGGGAAATCCAACAACATTTGCATACAAGCAAAACATATCAAATTACCTTGTTATATTATAGTATGAAGTTAATAAATAATTTTGTTCACTTTTTCAATCAATGCATTTGTTCTCGTTTATTGATTTCCAGTGTGCTCCCCAAATGCTCTGGTACGGCCGAGAGTTGGAAGAGTCCGCTCTCTTTCTCGAAATGCTCTCACATGGCCACGCGTATACAGTCTCTGCCAGGGAAGTCCTACTCACTGCCTTCTCGTGGCATTACTATTGTTTACGAAAATGAGAGGACGAAAAGCGAACGTCCGGCGCTTTAACCGGATCTCAAACCAATGGTGCACATAGGCTCCAGTATCCTGAAGGAACAAATGGCGTATGAACCAATCGTTGGTCACCGGCTACCATGGGACTGCATTTCCTCACGATGCTCCACTGCCTTGTGGGTTAGACCTTCAGGTCAAAGGCTCGGGGTGTGGCCCCTTAAGAAAACCACCTGGTTCGGTCTGGGCACCCGGACAGTATCACAGCCCACATACAAATTAAATGAGATTTGTGTGGCGTTTATATATTTGGTGCCCTCTTGTACCAATATTTATGTGTTAAGATAAATAAGATTTTCAGTGTGTGATCCTTAGAATAGACTTACTGTCGATTCTAGTAACTTGTATGAAGTTAATTTGACATTTAGTGACATTGTAATCATGCAACGATTCTAAACCTTATAATGTCTAATGTTTCATATAGTCATTCCGTAGTTGTCTGCATGACGGGGCACTTAAAGTGTTCGTTAAATTAAGAATTAGTGAGTATCAAAGGCAGAGCATTCTCAATAATGACTGCTACTTTCACTCAAGAAATATTATGGCATCTAGAATTTCGAATTGACATCTTGGGCATTTAAACACTTATTAGGACCCTCATTGTAAATTAATAGATTTTGAGTGTCTGTAAAAATTTGAGAAACCTCTTTCATATAGAGATCTCCCTGATTGTTATAGTTGTCTCGCTGCAGTGACCAAAAGCATCATTAGTCTCTTTATTATTATTATTATTATTATTATTATTATTATTTAGGATTCATGTTCAGACACCTAAATCTATTAAAGAATGATGATAAGACCTTTAAACTATTTATAATTAAGGTAGCACAACTTGAATAATTGGCGTTTATATCGAAAATTCCTATGTATAATTGTAAAGTCATCAACCCTACATTTTACTGATGTCAAAACTTTGATAGTGAATATTAAAATAGTCCTCCTAAAATTCTGTCCCAAAGTTCCAGTTCGTCGTATGAAATTTGAATAGATTCAACTTTCAGTTTATTTTGTCGAATTCTCTTTAACATATTCATTTTAACTTTTATGTTGTATATAAACCTACAATGTAAAAATTGTTCCAGCTGATAACGTTAAGTTTATGAATAGTATTGTAGTGAACGAGGACTGAGGCGAAGAAGATCAATTTATTGATTAATACTAGAGTGTCTTCGTAAGATATGAAAACCATGTATTAAATACTTCTTTTGCACATCTATCATTTGTCTCTCACAAATTTCATCGTTTCTTCATTCCTGTTGTTATTACAATTACTCTGTTTACATTCTTGTTTTCTTCAACTCAACCTTCTATTTTCGGGCATGCCACTTTTGATTGGTGTTACATACTACTTATGTCTGTCAACATAAGTAGCATACATCACAGTATTACAAATTGCATACACTTATTATTTTTAAATCAAACCATTTTTGTTAGCTATATTCAATAAGTGAAGCAATCATTATAGTTTAAGACCTGATAAACATAAAAGATTTGATAATAATTATAATAATAAATTTTGTATACGAAAACCCGTGTCCATTTTAAAAAGTAGGAAAATGGATTATTGTATGCATTAAAAGAGGGTTGCTTAAAATGTTGTATTACCTTCATGTAGTTGACGCTCTAATGAACACTAGCAAAAATTCTGGCCTATAAAGTTTATTCAGTAAAATTAAAGTCATTTCATCAATAACCGCAAGAATTTTACTCGGTATTATTATTATTATTATTATTATTATTATTATTTATTATGTAGTAATATTTCAAATGAATCAACGGACAAGTATTCCTTACTTCTTTGCTTCCATCAACATTTTGTTTATTTATATGGAAAAATTGGTTTCTTATAGTAGTTTTTTCAGTCTTCATTCAAATATTTGTTTGATTATTCGTAGCTCTTCCAAATTTTTTCTTCAGACCGTTTATACCTCTTATGATGTCTTGGGTAATAATAATGATAACTATTCTGTCTATATAATAGACTATATGGATTTGGTACTTGACGACTATCTTTAAACAATGCTTGTTCAGTTGTTAAGTACAACGGTCTATTAAATTTCATTAAGCGTTGTTTTGATTGATAGCGTTTATTTCGTTTTTTGTGTGAAATCGGTGCTAACGAATTCTGTTGCCTAGTACCAGATAATTCACCAGTTCCTTTGAAGTGAAATTCTAATAGCGGCTTTTGCTTCTCACTATTTTCATCATTCTTGTGATCATTATCTACTAGTTGTGTTTTCATTTTGGACGAATCAACTTCTTTTATACTGTTAGGATTCTTTTCATGACCTTCATTTTGGTCGTTACCGTCTTCATTGTTGCACACAAGAGAATTCCATTCTTCGCAAGGATAAGATTTTATTTTTTGATACTTTGCAGCTCGTTTCATTGCAACACAAACTCTAGATATGTATTCGTTTATCCAATCTTGATTTTCAATTTCCTGAAGCTGAATTTTTTCATCAATTGATTCTGTATTCGTTTCATTCGATACTTTATCGTCTTCAGTTGTAATGGTTAGTAATTTTCTCATATGATTGGGTAGACAGGTAAGAACAAGGTGTATTAAATCTTCTTTCTGTTGTCCTTCTGTAACTTTTGAATTACCTTCTTTACATTGTTCATGAGATTGTTTTGATCGTTTAAAATTAATGTCTTTTGGCTTGTGTTCAGTTGATACTGGACGATAATATTTATCTGTAAATGTTTTCCATTCTTTGGTAATTTTCATCGTAGAATATAAACAATTGATACTTTCAATAAGATTCATTAAAATATAAAATATCAAAAATAATATCACCGGTAGTAAATATGACAGAAATGAGTAATTTTCTAAATAATATTTTAAATAAATAAATGGATTATTTATGATCAATATCCATTTTGATATTGGTACACCACGTAAATCATAATCATAATCTTTTGCATATTCATTTATATCTTTATATGTTGGATCAATAATGTGAATAGGGAATAATGACTTGGTAGGCATAAATTGTTAATTTTATGTATCCATGTAATGAAAGTACAATTCTATGTGGATCAGTTTATTTACTAAGGATTATACATAGCAGTAGATTTTATTGATAGAAATTTTATTTGAAATTTAGTCATATTTACATTTTCAAGGTCATGAGATGTGTGTGATACATTTCATTATAGTGGATGACATTGGTCAACAAGAAATATGTTAGTTAACTTTTAGAAAAGTATTGGTTGAGTTGAAGCATGAATTCAGGGTTCATATTTGGGCAGCATCATTGATGATCACGGTGAATCTGATGCAGATGTGAAGGCACGGATCGACAAAGCAAGAGCAGCATATTTACAACTGAAGAACATCTGGAACTCGAAACAATTTTCCACAAGTCAACACCAAAGTCCGGATTTTCAATATAAATATCAAGACAGTTCTACTGTATGGGGCGGAAACCTGGAAAACTACGAAATCCATCGTCCAAAAGATACAGGTGTTTATTAACAGTTGTCTACGCAAAATACTTCAGATCCGCTGGCCGGACACTATAAGCAACAACCTACTGTGGGAGAGAACAAATCAGATCCCAGTGGGGGAAGAAGCGTTGGAAGTGGATAGGACACACTTTGAGGAAAGCACCCAACTGCGTCACAAGACAAGCCCTCACATAGAATCCTCAAGGTCGAAGGAGGAGAGGAAGACCAAAGAACACATTACGCCGAGAAATGGAGCTAGACAAGAGAAGAATGAACAAGAATTGGATGGAACTAGAAAAGAAGGCCCAGGACAAAGTGGGTTGGAGAATGCTGGTCGGCGGCCTATACTCCATTGGGAGTAACAGGCGTAAGTAAGTAAGTATGAAGGTTTAATACAGCTACCAGTAGGCTAAAATTGAGGCAGTTTAATATAATCACCTCAGACATTTAGAAGGTTAACAAAAGATGTAGATTAATCATAGTAGCAACAAGCTAGCAGGCTAAATTTAGAATCACTAAACATCTGTATTCTAATTTCATGTGCTGTAGTATCGATGTAGACTAAAAAGGATATACTTAAATGTTGTACGCTTCTTGTATCATAGGCCACCGACCAAGGAATCCTAACAACTCTGTCTTGGGCTATCTCTTTTAGTTGTTATCACATGGTGTATACATTCAGTTCCTAGAACCTCTTTCTTTGCCTTCAGGACTTCAAGTTGGAATCTATCTAATAATCGAGTTTGTTGGCTTCTGTGGTGTGTGTCTGAAATAGCTCTCGGTTTTCTACCTTAAACTAATTTGCCTTAGACGAATATCTACACTAGATGCCATCTCAGTGTCCATTGTACAGAACTTTAACACAACTCAGATCAAGAGCTTGTGACTAGCCTGACTAGAACTTGAGTATGTCGCCGCGTCAGAAATAATAATAAGCGTAGGAAAATATGTAGCGCATCTAGTACCTGTCAGACTATATATTAGTCTGACTTGCTAAATAACCAGTCATTATTTTTCTTGCCCACACATCATTGTCTCTAATAAAAACTTCGCATGATCATGAAAATCTTTACGAATTTCATAATATCGACGGTGTAACCGTACTTTTTATTCACACTGTCGCATACTTCCTCATAATCAAGGAGCTTAATACGAACAGATGATGAATTATGTTTAACTGATTGTACAGCGATATACAGCGTTGCAGTTGTGTCTGTACATGATCAACTGCTACGAAAGCCAGCTTGTTTATCTTCAAGATAGATATCTACTGAATGATTTGTTCGGTTCAGTAACACCACTGGGAACTTTACTTGGTACTGACAGTAGTGTGATTCTTCCGTAGTTCTCTTTATTCTATTTGTCAATGTGGAATCCCCGTTTCCATTCTCACAAAACTAATTTTGGTCATCTTCACTATTGTTGTTGATAAGTACATAGCGCTGAGTGCCGTTTATGGCAATATTTTTCTTCATTTTGTATTATGCATTGATGATCCTGGAGTTGTAAGTCTTCCGTCCCATGAGCACTTTTCGCACTGTTTTGGCGACAAATCCTTGTATATGGTCATTTTCTTTATGATCAGAATAAAGCAATATTTTTCCTACATCTAGCCTTTTCTGTTCGGCTTGTTTTAGTTATTTCGTAAATTATTGGACCAGTAAGATAATAATTCCGGTCTCCTATATAATTTGGACATTCCATGTCTCTATTTTATTTCTGCTCATGGTTGTCAGAATGGACATCGGCCTTGTAATTTCTGGTGATTCTTAGCTTTCTTTATGAAGTGTCATACCTTTTTTATATGAAGGTCCCTTTCCTCTCAAAGAGGAAACTTCCTCACTTTATTCTTGTTAGTGTCTTTGTAACGGGGTTCTATTTTACCATATGAGGTAGTTTATTCTTTCATTCGTTAGCATGTATTACTTGGTATTATAGGTTGAATGAATTTAGAAGCAGGTATAATTAAAATACTTAAGCTGGTAAACATAGGTTTTATCCCTTAGTGAACTTTTATTTTGTCGTATTGTAGTGGACACTACTCACAAGATTGTTTGTAAGTAGTGTGTAGCGGAATGTGGCATTAAAATTGCAACAGCTTTCAGAAGAAACGAAGAGTTTCAGTTCATATAAAGCACGGGTTCGGGATAACATATGCAGATCAGACGAGAAGACGGTTCAAACTGCAGAACACACCTAAAAATGCAAATTCTTAGTAACCTTACAATAAGCTTACTTTCCTCCTGTCTATTGTCATACCTTACACCTTAGTGTTAGAACATGGGATAAAATGTCCTACCCTACCCAATTCTACGTTAGTTACAGTATATTCAGATATTAAGTGATTTGATCTCGATTTTAGCAAACAGTTTAGCAATATCTTTTTGTAAAAAACTACTATTATATGTGGGGGGGATGAACAGCAAGCAGTTTAACTGTTGAAAAAATTCAAGATGCAATAGTAATACACATGACGTTTATTGGAATCGATATCAAGCATTGTAATACAACATTGTACTTAAAAACTGTTATATGTTGCACCGCGGACTAGAGGGCAGAGAATTATCGATCGGACCAAAGACGCGTAAAACACGTAAGAACAGCCTAGAGTTCTGATTGGCCCTGCTTCCCTGTCTAGCCCAGCCAGTTGAGTCCAGAACACAAGTCTCAGCCTCTGCGATATGAATCATTATATTTCAAACATACTAGGTTTATATACCAATCGAACAGACCACATCGTACCGTAAAATAGAAAATAACATTTGTACAAGATTTGATCAACAGGAAAATGACACTTGGAGTAAATGTTGACCAGTATGGAAACGACACGTGAAATAAATATTGACCAATAGAAAAATGATACCATTTCAAGTCCAAGGATAGCATTAAACATAACAGGATAATTTATGAGATATTTTTCTGAATATCCCAATAAAAACTAAGGTCATATGTCGATTCCTGATCACCCTGAACCCGGCGCCAGGTATGGCCGAGAGTGGGGTGATTCGCCCTCCCTCTCGAAATGCTCTCACATGGACACGCGTATACAGTCTCTGCCAGAGAAGTCATACTCACTGCCTTCTCGTGGCATTACTGTTGTTCACGAAAATGAGAAGACGAAAAGCGAATTTACAGCGCTTTAACCGGATCCCAAACCAATGGTGCACATGGGCCGGCTCCAGTATTCTGAAGGAACAAATGGCGTATGAACCAATCGTTGGTCACGGGCTACCATGGGACTGCATCTCCTCACGAGGCTCCACTGCCTTGTGAACTAGACCTCTAGGTCAAAGGCTCGAGGTGTGACCCCTTAAGAAAACCACCTGGTTCGGTCTGGGCACCCTGGCAATATCCCAGCCTACACACTAAAACATGATGAACTATTTACTTATGGAAAATATTCTTTTCGCTCCGATTTACATTGAAATGACTCGCACCACTATTATTATTATTATTATTATTTACCACGTCGTCTATTCACTCTCTTTTATTTCCACTCTGTCCGTCCTTATTTTTCGACTTATACAACAGCTCGACTATGGTGAAAATTCGACTCTATCTAAACGCTCTCGAGCCACTGCTTGGTTGGAAATTATATGTTACCACCGAATACGAGTACTGAAGCAGTTTTTCTGAAACCGCGTGCACCATTCAAACTGGCTACCTTCAACGTTCGCACACTTATGCAGGTCGGACAACAGATAGGACTGGCTATGTCTTTGGAAAGTCTTAATATTGATGTGTGTTGTCTATCCGAGACCCGTATTCAAGACTCTGGTGAAGTACTACAAGTTCGCTCTCCATCTGTCACTTCAAAAAGCTTGTTTTATGTGCGTTTATCCGGGGACCCTGTGGCATCTTCGTCTGGTCTTGCTAGCGTTGGTGTCGTACTAAGCGCTAGAGCTGAGGCAGCACTAGTCGACTGGATCCCCATTAACAGTCGGTTATGTGCCGTTAGATTAGAAAGTTCCATCAAAATGAGAAGAAATCGGCGTGAGAAACGGTGTCTTTTCGTCATCTCCACCTATGCCCCGACAGATTGCAGCCCGGATGCAATCAAGGATGAATTCTACCACCAGCTAACAGTTCTTCTCCGGAAAGTGCGTTCGACAGATATCGTAGTACTAGCCGGAGACTTGAATGCTCAGGTCGGGCGTCTAGGCACAGAAGAGAGTCGTTTAGGTGGTCAATGAGGACTCGTTGGTCGCAGGACAGATAACAGGGAACGTCTACTGCAACTATGCACAGACCACAACCTGTTTCTGGCTAGCACTAACTTTCGGCACAGTCATCGCCGATGTGCCACCTGGCGTCCCCCTTCTGCATCTCAAGCCTGGACTCAGATTGATCACATCGCGATCAGCTACCGCTGGCGCGGTTGTGTACAAGACTGCCGCTCCTTTTGGAGTACCTATCTGGAATCTGATCATGCTCTGGTCTGCTCCAATCTTACCTTAATTTTCAGTGGACAACGAAGTGACCGCCACCACAGGATTGATGTTAGCAAGCTGGCTGCAACTTCTGTTGCTAGTAAGTACCGAACCGAGCTAGCTTCTAGGCTAGCTAGCATTCCACCGAAAAGTATAGATGAGCATTGGTTGCAATTGCATGACGCCATGAAAATGGCGGGTCAAGTCTGTTGTGGGTTCGCGAAACGTCCCGCTTACAAGCACTGGGTTTCTTCTGGTTCCTTACAACTGATTGAAGCCCGTCGGTCTACTCCGGGTGACCGTGAGTTTGACCACAGACGAAGGATGTTACTCAATGAAATCGGGCAAAGCTTGCGTAAGGACCGAGAAGCCTGGTGGTCGGAGCGTGCCAGTGAGTTGGAAGCAGCAGCTGCATCTGGTAATTACCGGAAGCTCTTCCAACTCATCCGAGCCACTGGCAGCAAGAAGTCTGGTGTGAGCGAAACAATCTGCGAAGATGACGGAACGCCAATCACTAACATCTATCGACGTCTTGGACGATGGGCAGAATTCATTGAAGGGCAGTTCAACTGGCCTGCTGCTCCGGCAGCATCGGTCAGATTGTCCTGCCCTCCATGGCCGATGACGACTGATCCACCAAATGAGGCGGAAGTCCGCAAGGAGCTCCAACTCTTGAAACGTTACAAATCACCGGGCCCAGACGAATTACCTCCGGCTCTTTTTAAAGATGGTGGTGACTTCCTGACTAAGGGACTGACGACGTTGTTTACAAAGATCTAGGAACTAGAGAGTGTACCAACGTCATGGAATGAGTCGATAGTTGTCCCTAACTTTAAAAAGGGTTCACGTTGTTCCTGTAACAACTATCGGGGGATAAGTCTACTTCCGATTGCGTCCAAGCTATTGGCTTCGTCATACTTCATAGGTTGTTCAGAACCCGAGAAGGTTTGACTCGTGAGGAGCAGGCTGGGTTTCGTTCTGGTCGAGGATGTATTGATCATATCTTCACCCTCCGCCAAGTGTTAGAACACCGCCATACTTATCAAAGGCCAACAATCGTAGTGTTTCTTGATATCAGGGCTGCCTTCGATTCGTTGGACAGAACTGTTCTCTGGGATTGTCTATTGAAGAAGGGTGTGCCTGAGAAGTTTATTAACATCCTAAAAGCCCTATACACAAACACCTCAGGCAGAGTGAGGGCATACAACCACCTTTCTCCGTTATTCCATTCGAGCAGTGGAGTTAGGCAGGGTTGCCCAATCTCACCATTCCTCTTCAACTTTGCCATCGATGACATTCTGGAAACAGCTCTGACGGATGTAAGTAATGGTGGTGTGGATCTGTTGCCTGGAGAAAGACTTCTCGACCTTGAGTATACGGATGATATTGTCTTACTGTGCGAGAATGCCCAAGCTATGCAATGCGCACTTAATCAGTTGGCAATCAGTGTCCGTAGGTATGGTATGTGCTTTGCACCTTCGAAGTGCAAAGTTCTTCTACAAGACTGGCAGGATTCTAATCCTGTACTCACTCTGGATGGTGAGCAGATAGAAGTAGTCGAGATGTTCGTGTATCTGGGTAGCTGCATAAGTGCTGGTGGTGGTGTGGGTGATGAGATCAATGCACGTGTAGTGAAAGCCAGAGCGGCTTATGCCAGTCTGGGCCATCTTTGGCACCTTCGTGATGTTAGTCTGGCTGTAAAAGGTCGGATCTACAACGCGTCGGTGAGAGCAGTTTTGCTCTATGCTTGTGAAACCTGGCCTCTCCGAGTTGAGGATGCTAGACGACTCTCTGTGTTCGATCATCGTTGTCTCCGAAGGATTGCTGGGATCTAGTGGCAACACCATGTCAGTAATGCATAGGTTCGGCATCGTGTGTTCGGGCACAGAGACGATAATGAAATTGGTGTCACCATCTTGAAACACCGACTTCGGTGGCTTGGACATGTTCTACGAATGTCGTCCCAGAGAATTCCACGTCTTGCATTATTTGCCGACTCTGGGACTGGTTGGAAAAAGCGGAGAGGTGGTCAGTATATGACATAGTGTCGTGGTATGAAAGAAAGCTGCAAAGGGCTAGCTTCTGTTGGTCCTTCACGACTCCCTGGTTGGGGTCCGAGAGACGGTGTAACGCAGTGGCTAGAGACGTTATCAGATATGGCTCAGAATAGAAGCCAGTGGCGATCGTGCTGTAACCTTCTTTTACTTTCTTCATAAAAAGTGGTTGTATCTTCCTTAACTGAAAGATCTCTTCTGATTGTACCTTTCCGTTTTCCCCATTATTGTTCTCTCTCTTTTTTTTTCTCCTTTCTCTTCAAATTATCATTGTTTTGTGTGGCGCATATATATTTGGTGCCCCCCTTGTACCAATATTTATGTGTTCAAATAAATAAATAAATAAGTAAACATATGTCGATTCTGTAACACTTTACAAAACTGAAATAGTTGAACCTCATTTAAATCATTACATTTATGGAGCCACTTACTGCATAAATTTATCTCAGTGCATTACAGTATATTTTCTTTCTCATCTTTGAAGATGATAATAGCAAATATACCATCAAGTTAGCAGTTTTGGATGATATTAAATGAAGTATCGGAACAATTAGATTTTTTTCGATTTTCAGATACCGTTAAGAGATGGAGTCAAAAAAAAACAAATGGACTTGATTAATTCATAGTTTTTATCTGCATACTTAATCTATTTGCATATGTTCCCAGGAATTTCTTGTTCATATGTTCATAGTAAAAAGGACATTTTTGGAAAACGCAACTTCAATAATCAGTTTATTTAGAGTTTTTAAAAAGAAAACAAGTAGAATATCTGTAAATTATAAATAAGAGAACAGTGCACAGTGTAATAACTAAAGGGTCAGTACTTGAAACATAATTGAAACAATTCACATTCAAAAAAATTCACCTCGAAATCTCTTTCTCTTATTTATTTACCTATGTCGAGGTGTGGCCCCCTAAGAAAACCACCTGCTTCGGTTTGGGTACCCGGGTAGTATCCCAGCCCTCACACAAATCAAATGAGATCTGTGTGGCGCATATATATTTGGTGCCTCCTTGTACCGATATCTATATGTTAAAATAATAAAAATAATAATTCACCTATGTCATTATAATCCAAGGATATTTGATTAGTATGATGGAAGAAATTAGTTGGAGTTGTTTCCTAGGATTCATTATTATTAAGAGAACTTTCACTAAACGTTTAGTTAGTGAATTTCTCTTTCAAATATTGAGTATTACTTTTGTATTCATCAAAATGGCTTAGATTTTCTAATTTTATCATCCTATGTCTATTATTGGAACTAATGATATTTTTCATAATTATTTGATTTTTGTTTTTATACCATGGTTTTATAATTGATTTGTTTAATAGATTTTGCTTATTTGTTCTTTTATTCACCATAAAATTCACACTATCGTCTGTTATTGTTATTATCTCAAAGATCGCCGATTAGAGGGCAGTAACTTATCGATCGGATCAAGGATTCAGGGACTTGATAGACTATGTCTGGTCCGTTGTCCCCGACTCAGCTAACTCAATCAAGAAGTTTTGGTAAGACGTAGAAGTGTATACGACAGGCAACTAGTAGATACCAGGTCAATCAGGCACACAAATCAAGCATATTCATACAAATACATATAAAATCGATATTGTCATATAAATTTTTAAACATTCATCAATAAATTCGTCAATTGACTACCATTCAAATATTTAAACATTTAATCAATAAGATAAAATTACAAAAATGTGAGTTTTTTTTGGGGAATCTATCATCCCCAACAGTTATATGATTAACATCAGATTTTTTTTTAACCTGTTCTTGAATTATTGATATTTTGATTATGATCAATCATATCATTTAGATTGTTTAATTACATTTTCTGAATCATCTATTAGTAATCCTTCAATTGATTCATCTTCAATTGATCTATTCAATTCTATATTATATAACTGTCTACAACATATAGTATTCTTCCATGCAGCTTCTAATACAAAACGTATTATTTCATATTCAACTAAATCTTCAGGTATAATCCGTTTCTTATTTTCTTTAAATAATTGATAATAACTTATTAATACAGTAAATATTGCTTTTGCATAAATATCATAATTCATTGGTAAATTATCCATTTTAATCTCTTTTAATTGTAATTTTATATTATTGAATTCTTTTATCAGTAACTTGATCAGTTCCACATAACGAATAAATCTTTTTAATATAAATAATAAAATAATCAAACTAAGAAATATACTGAAACAGATTAAACTAGTCAATAATAATTCTATTATATATTGTTTAATAATATTGTGTAAATAACCAACTGGATTCTGTAGAAATGATACATGTAAACTAATAGCTTTACCAATTAAATCATAATCATAATCTTTGAGAAAATCTGTTAAATTTTCATAACTAGGATCAATAATAATTAAATCTTGATCATTGTAAAGTGTCATTTCTAACTTGATAATAAGATTAGTCAGTATATCTATATAGAAATATTCTATTTTAATGGTAATTGTTTAAATAAATATGATTGTCTCCAGAATTATAAAGTCAATATTATTGATTATCGATAATAAATTTAATTTAGTTAAATAGTATCATCTATATATAAGTTAACCTACATAATGTAGTGTCTTCATAATATCCACTTGAAATAAATGTAACTTGTTAATACTTTCGGTTATTGATGTTATGATTTGGAAGTGGAAATTGTAGCGTGGATTGGAGTCGCTATTGACTATGAACACCACTACAAGTTGAGCGCGTACTAAACAAATCAGAAGGTGAGAATAGATTGTAACTAAGTTTATTTATTCGTTGGCGATTTCGTAGTATCGAATGAATAACAAGATCGTGTCAAAATGGTACAAGTGGGATTGACAGGAAGGAGTACGTGTGTACAGAGTCACAAACAGCGCATAATGTAATGGAGGCCAATGGAAGGGCAATATGGTTGTCATTAGCACAGTTAAACAAACGAGCACAGTAAAACAATTGGTTACAATAATGATTGTTTCCATTAAACCAATCGCGTTCTGTTGACAAAAGTAGGTCACTACAAAATCACAGATTATATAACCAAAAACAGGAGGCAGATACTTTCATGAGATGAATTCAAATCATAATCACCTGAAATGCATTTAAAATGTAAATGATGAATGGTAACGTGAGCTAAGGTCTTTTTTTCCCCTATTAAATATACTTGAGCTATTTATGATCATTTAGTTGATAGATTTAAATAATTATTCCGTGTCTTTATCGCTATTTTCATTGTTGTTCAAGTATCTGATTGGAAGCATTCTACAATTCAGTCATCTTTATAAGGAGATCAATAAAATGTTTATATCAATAGTTAACCTATATGAACTGCAATCGAATAAAAATGTGACGAAACGACTCAACACTTATTACTTTCTGAAGCTCATTGAACTTATTTAAGATCAATCGTAAATTTTTACATAGACTTAACGTTACATGGAACACTTATGAGTGTGCTCATAGGGTACCTATTCTAAATCTTTGAAATTCTACCCACATTACAGCTGTTATATGGTCAGTATAACCTGTAGATCTAAAGCAATAATATAGCAAGTGGACCTTTCATAGGCCATTAATCTCATCAGATTTAATTATAGATCTTTTTTTAGGGAACAGTTCGTCTGACTTTCCAGGAATTGATATTCTACCTGTAAGTTATCTAGACTTGGACTATCTAACTGACATCGTATTGTATGATGAACTAGTAGTAAGGGGTCATGTAACTTATTTAGTGTGCCAGTTTCTTTAGTATAGCACATCATTTATATAAAATTTCAGTTTGTATCATGCGACATAATTTCAATAAATTCAGTGTAACATTTTGATTGTATAAGTTTAGTTTGATGTTATTTTGTATTAATTCAGTTTCGTTAACCCATATATGAATTTGCAAATATATGGGTATCTTTGTTAGAGAAGTCTTTTGTTTTGAATGAACAAGTTAATTTGTGCTTGCTAAGTGTGCTTGTTTTTTCATTGCGTTGAACCATATTCATTTTCAGCTCAAATTACATCGTAGTTATAAACGTTTTTAAGTTCAATTCATAGTCATAGTCTCATGAACACCTTGAGTGTCACTGCAATACTGTAATATGCATATACAGCCATCACATGCCCTAAAGTGAAATTGTCGCTAACTTCTGAGTGGGTGTAGTGATTGTGCTGTATCAGTCAGTCAGTCAGTAACAACGTGGAACTTCGTACGTACGTACATCAGTTCGAGTTGCCATACCACATTAGCACAGAGATTCAGTTATCGATTCAAATCCCATAGTGGTAGAGGTACTGAAAGTATAAGTAGAGATAGGGGACATTAAGGTTTGATGATGTTATTGAAGGAGTATAGTCCAGTGGAATAAATTGGGAAAGAAAATAAACGACATGAAGAATTCAGAAGATTAGAGTTTGAGAGAACACAAAGAGTGGAAGCACCTGCGCAATTGCAAACGATTTTGAGCCATGTCATTCAAGGTCTCTAACCATCGGTTGCTACCATCTCGCGGTCCCCAACCAGGTAGTCTACACCTACCAACATGCGTCAGTCCACTTGTCAGTGATCTCATGGATTTGTGCCATGTTTTGGTCTGGCCGTCACTATCTTTCTTCCAACCTACACTACCCTACACCATAAAACATAGCACGTCGTGGCAGTCGGTGGTCAGGCACACGTAACACATGTCCCAGACATCTCAACTGATGTAGTTTCACTACTTCCTCAATTGATTTGCCATCCTTACCTAGTACCCGTTTCATAACAACTGCATTACTTACTCGGTGGTCCCAGGATATACGAGCGATGTTTCGAAGACACCTATGGTCAAATACTAGTAACCTACGGATATCCTCTACTCTTACTGGCCATGTTTCACTGCCATAAAGTAGGACGGAACGAACTGCTGCACAGTAAACACGTCCTTTGGTTGATAGACGGATATCTCGCCTACGCCACAAATGACACAAGTTGGCAAAAGCTAGTCGAGCCTTTTGTATCCGTGCTGAGATTTCGTCACACGCCAAACCACACGGGCTGATGAGACTTCCGAGATAAGTGAAGCGGTCGACACGCTCAACTACTTCAATCCCTATCACTAGTTCGGGTGTCGACGCAACTCAATCCTGAAGCAACATTTTGCATTTCGAGGGAGAAAATCGCATGCCGAACATGTTTGCATTGTTGCTTAGAGTGGTCAGCAGACTCTGCATTCTGTCAGCGTCTTCACTTAATAGAACTATGTCATCGGCATATTCTAAGTCAACAAGTGGATCTCCCGGTAGAAGTTCAACTCCTGGAAATTTAGATGAGGAAAGTGTCATCTCTAAAAGGACGTCAACGACAAAGTTAAACAAGAATGGAGAGAGTGGACAGCCCTGACGAACACCACTTGAGGTAATCAATTCTGATGACAGTTCACCATAAGCTCTCACTCGACCAGTTGTGTTCGAGTAGAGAGCCTTTATAAGGTTGATGTACTTCTTTGGTACTCCTTTCAGTGACAAACGCTGCCATAGAACCTCACGATCAACAGAGTCAAATGCCGCCTTAAGGTCGAGAAATACTACCATTGTGAGGCGTCTGAATGTGTGTCTATGTTCTAGAACCTGACGCAGTGTGAATATCTGATCAATACAACCACATCCAGGTCGAAAACCAGCCTGGTTTTCTCTAGTCTGCTCTTCACGAGCTTTGGTTAGACGTCGAAGTATTATTGAAGATAATATTTTAGACACTATATTAGTCAAACTAATTCCTCTGTGATTGTCACAGGAGGACTTTTGTCCTTTCTTATAGACTGGCACAATCAGTGATTGAGACCAGTCAGATGGGATTACGTCCAGTTCCCAGATTCTACCTAAGACCTCAGTCAATCTCGCTGCTAATACTGGACCGCCATCCTTAAAAATCTCAGGGGTAAACCTGCCAGGGCCTGCTGCTCTCCCACGCTTCAGATTTCCTATAGCTTTTTCAACTTCGTAAAGAGTCGGAGGACTTACATCAACTTGCCATTCAGGTCGACTGGAGATCGTGGGAAACCGAAGTGTGGCTGAAGGCCAGTTGAACTGATCCCTAAAGTATTCTGCCCATCGATCCAATCTCCTGGATTGAGAATGAATAATATGTCCATCTTTCTCTGCGATTGTTTCGCTAACAGTTGGGTTCCTAATACCGGTTTCCTTAACAAGTCTGAACAGTTGCCTGCTGTTACCTATTGCCGCTGCCTTTTCCATCTCTCTTGCTTTCGCTACCCACCACTGTTCACGATCATTGCGGAGGTTTCTAGTCAGCTTACGCTTAAGCTGACTCCGCTCTTCGTAATGTTCAGAGCCAGATGGAATGAGTTTTCGAGCATCTATCAGTGCGCTAGATGCTGCTGAGATCCAGTGTTTCTCCCTAACCTTATGGTTTACCGTACTTGCAGACATCACTGCTGTTTCTACAGCTTTTCGGATGTCATTTAACGCTGCCTCGGGGTGGGCATCACTTACATGGCTGTCTAACTGTTTTTCTAGATGTTCCTGAAATATACTCTTAGCTTGACTATCATTAAGTAGGACCCTAAGGGGTTTCCTTGCAGCATGTTTCCTACGTCCAGTAAGACGTAGACAAATACGCGCTCGCACTAGAGCATGATCTGAGTCTAAGCATGTGCTCCAAAATGAGCGACAGTCTTCTATCGAGCCCCTACCATCTCCGCTTATGATATGCATATTGTGCTACTTCTTACTACAAAAGAATTTACAATTGAGACTATGTATCTTTAGTACGGCAAAATGTTCAAATATCAAATCCACATTTCGAAATCACGTAAACAGAATAAAGAGACAATACCTGCGGACCGTTGGAGTTTATGTTACGATTCACTGAATTAATACGGTAGACAAAAACACAATATTTAGTGATACCTAAACAATACAAAAAACGTCGGGGTATGGTTTTGTTTTTCTTCAGAACTCAAAGAATAAATCAATTAGAGTTCTAATAAAATTTAATTATTCACTGATATATGTTAATACAAACGAAACCTACAATGAAAGGTAAATGTATGAGCAGAAAAACGAAACATAAAGACAGTTTATTATACGGACTGACGGTAGCTTAAAAGTCATTAAAAACAAGAGAATTAGAAAGCTGTTTTGTCCTAGCACAGGACCTCTCAATAGTGTGTACCTCTAACACCACTAGAGATCAGACTCAAGTATTTCAAGCTTTAGGTAGTTGTTACATACTTTACAGAACAGAACAAAGTACCAAATTGAAGAAATCACTCATCAATACAATATTGTTATAAAAAAAGAACAAATATGTGACAAGAAAAAAAGGTTTAAAGACGGGAATTAAAGCAAACATGAGAAGAGACCGGGTAGCTGAAAATGAAGTTTTACATTGATAATGTGAAATTTTAAAGATATTAAACCCAAATATATGGATCGTCGAAGAATTACATTAGAAGCACTTCAAATGTTATGTGTACAAAACAGTTCACAACCAAGAAATCGAGCAATCATTTAAGCAATAGAATAACAGAGACAAGAAATAATTGACTGAAAAAAAAGTATTCACTTGAACTGTACTATCGTAGACATCCTTGTATTGTGGCCACTACTTGACGCGAAGCTACGATAAAAATGGAAAAAGGTTGATAGTTTATAAGGGTACTAATTCTATGTCATAGTAAAAAATAACATTAGGACTTAAAGGAAACATACAGGATGTGATTGTGTTTGATGAATTACAGCAGTAGTATAGTAGTTCAACAACCAAATATTAGATCACCAATTCAAACTTAATGATTATTACAACGCCATGATTGGTTGTTAGAATTCACAGATAATGAGTTAATATGACTGGTCAACAATACGCTTTGTGTGGCCACGCTTAGAATAGCTTGACTAATTACTCTTATAAGGAAACTGTTACCAAATCATATTAGTATACTTTAATAACTATTCTACCAATTATTTAGCTAGTCAATCTACAAAGAATAAATTTAGGTCTTTGATCACACCCTTTTGATAAGATGCTTCAACGAATGGGTTCGTGTATGAAAAAAAAGATTGTCGACTTTTTCCGAGAAATATAGATAATGGACAAACAGTGAGTTAAAGATACAGAAACTAAACATAAATACGAGATTATAAAGTTGAATGAGAACTTACAACCAGAGTTCCGATGTTCACAAAGCCATATTCCTTGCCAAGTACCCAAGGCTAACTGACCATTTGTAATAGGTATGGTAATACTGGGTCCACCAAGTAATGCTTGTTTTGCATGTGCAGGCTTAAACAGAATTTGAAATTGGAAAACAGACATACATATTATTAAGCTGAAAGTTACATGTAGTAAGTGAATATTAATAGATATAATGAAAATATGTTGGAAAAATACATTTTATATGGAGCAAGTAGGTAACGATCTTAAGAAATGCCAATATGTGAATTTTATCCAAGAAAACTGATTAGTAACAATGGGTTATGATTGATCAAACAATAAAGCAATTGAAGTGGTTCTAAAGACAATTTATTCGCTGAGTCGGTACCCAAACTTCAGATTACAAAGAAGAGAATCAGTGGTTGCCCGACTTAATGAATACGATAATGTAATTACAGCTGATAAAAATTCACCCAAGACAGTATAACCATTTAGATACTTATTCATTAGGTAGCTAATGATAAATCAATTTGATACAGTGGGCCAGTTAGACATTAGTCACATGCTAAGCTCACAAGATATGGCATATTTTTTTAAGAAATGGGACATTCGATTGATATGGCTTCAATTTCTATGGAATATATATATATATATATATATATATATATATATATATATATATATATATATATATATATATATGAATGCAGTTATTGAGAGACGTTCTTTTCACTTTCAGTCTTCTCATTCAATTAGCCGATTAGGGTCGCAAATAGGAAGCATGTTATTCAATGTCAGAGCTAAACACTGTACAACACAACAGAGAGTTACATAAGAATCAATAGCCGATCCTTTCTCTATACCTCCCACCAACAACGAAAACTAACCTACGATGTGATAATGATACAAAAGTAGGTCAGTCGTACATTATAGTAACATGACTGACTTGTAGAAGGTGATTTACTTAAATCAAACCGATGAAATTAATTATTCAAACGAACTTTTCATCACCATTTTAAGTTGCAATAGATAAATATAATTCAACCATCTATTTAAGTTATGTACTTTTCGGCATATCAATGTACCAATAGAATTAAATTAAGGGACTAAGAACAATCATAAATGTTGTACATTATTGAAGTGAATATGAACTCACCATGTCATCAGCACCTTCACAATTGTGTTTGTATTTAAGTGACTACGATAAATATAAAGGAAATAAGATTTAATAACAACAAATAGACATGTCAACATGAATAAAATTAATGCACAATTGTTTACTGAGGAAGAGTTTTTTGCAAGTATTTACTTTGGATTATATATGGTTAATTTCCGTTGGAATCTGTACACCCTGAGTGGATCTCAAAATATCGCTTTGAGTTAAAGAATTTACTATATTTTAAGATTGTAGCTATCAGCAGAAATTAGAAAACCCGTTTTGTTCTACTTGAGAATGGTCATACTGGGACAACATGTGCATCCCGGAATCTTACCGTTAACCACGATTTAAAAGTTTAATTTGTAATATGTTACATTAAATATAACACAGTTATCCAGTGCTCTATGGATTTTAAATAATTTTCTAGTTGGAGTCAGTTCATGGTGAGAACTATCCCAAAAGGACTACACCACCTTATCTGAATATTCAAAAATTTAAGTAACCGATTACTCTGTCTTTGTAAAGCGTTTAATTGTATTATTCGTAAAAATGCCACATACATTAGTAGAATTATTGACTGAAATTTCTAAAAGTTTTTAATGAACTTATTTATTGATAGCTCCGTAAACTCTAGGAATCTGGATCTTCCTGCCATGAAATAAATAATTATATGGAAACAAAGTGTAATTAATTCTATATCAAGACCAATTAGAAGGCTTACAAGCCAAATATAATATATTTATATAAATCTTAGTTGTAATAGATTAATTGCATACGCCACCAAAAGTCGAGAGCTGTACATATTTGACGAAATAGGTTATAACAGCTCACGTGCTATTGTGTTTATTCACATTTAATTCGGTCAAGACATTTTATTAACTTATTAACTTATCTATATCATTGTATCCTTATTACTGTTGCGAATGTATGAACATGTATGCTTGAGCAAGCCTTACCGCCTACTCATTTATTCACGCTACTAGCTTTACTATTAACCGCTTAATTGACTCGATGATTCATTCATTTCACTATGTATATATATGTTCATGTTATTCATATTCATTACTTGCCCTTGCTCTCTCTCGCCCGCTCGCTTGCCTGTTTTCCTTTCGGCACAACTATTTCATGCTTGCTTAACGCATCTGTAATTTTGGATATCTGTGTGTGGTCCCATAATAAACGTAATTAACACTTCATTTTCGCCTTCTGATTAATATACCGTTGGAGCGTTATTTAGTGACGGTTACCGAGACGAACTGTATACGGAGTTTAAGGAATATATCGAACACCGACCACCACAAGGTCGTTTGTAACGCATACGAAACAATAATAAGACATTTATTATACGAAATGCTGATGGTCCATAAAGAAAATGGAACAAATATTTTTAAACACAAGTTGAAAGGGCAAACAATATTTCCAAGGAAAATGGACTTTTAAGCATTAATGTCCACATACTATAGATGAGATGAGCACATAATAATCAACAATGAAAATGAAACATACTTCAGGTACAAGATGATTTAGAACCATTTCCATATCTGTTCTGAAAAATCAATAGAGAAATAAAGTGAATTTTCTAAACAAAACTTTGTATAATCCACTATCCAAAATTTATAGAAATGAGGATTAAAGTTTTTAAGCAAGAAAAAAGCTTGATTAATATCAGAATGTGAACAAGATGCTTTCAACGTGGTGGTTGATTCGTTTAAATGTCAAACAACTAAATCAAGGATAAGAATTTCACAATATCTACAACAGTTTACGAGTCCAGAAAGCAGTACTAATAGTAATATTAATGACTTTATAGGATTGTTATAAATAGTCAAGCGTTCGAATTTATGCAAGACTAACAGAATGGATGACCGACATTTCTTTATTAAGTCAATAAAGAAATCGACACATTCGTTTATCAATGTATCAGACAGAAAAATTAGCCACTAGCATTTTCTTTCACGTAAAAAAGTCACGTTTTTTAGTTTTCATCTTTAAAATAAACATTTAAGTCTGAATACAATGGCAATAGAAATCGTCTAGCATAATCCAGATTTTTATATTCTACGCAATTAAAGACATCAAGAACTTGAGTTGAAACAAAGAATTCACTACATCTAACAAAGTATCTAACCTACACAAAATCTACTTTATCGTAAACTTCCATCCATCCGTTTATCTTAGTTCTGTGAATTATCAGTTTTTGAGAGATGAAACATTTATCCCCATATCTTGGAAAAAAAATTCCAGAATGCTGATTTAAGAGAAATTTCTTAGATCTCTGTTTTATAAAGTTAGTTCAATTTTTGATTTGTTAATATTTAGAAATCAAAGTTTGAGAATGCGTAACAGAAGTAAAACCTTTCGTGTCCGTTATCAACCTCATGAATAAAGATGATAATGAAACATAAATCTCTTATTAATTTCGTACACTACACTTAATCTAACCACATTGTGCAATGGTGGTAACACAAACCAAATTCGAAATGTGCTAGAAAAATTTGAGGCACTCGAATGCAAACAGACAGATGGTACGAAGGAATAGATGAAGCTTAAGGGTAGGTTTTACTACAACTTTATGAAATAAATTTATATCTAAGCTTATTTATGAAAACAGACAAAGAATAATCTTGGGGAATAGAGATAAACAAGCATTCACATATAAAATGCACAGAAGTGAAAGGTTAGGATTATTAGTAAATGAATAAATACAATATAACCAATAATGTTATAATTAAGTATGTGAAGATCAGATAAGGTTAAGCAATAATTTGCATAGTTCCTCCATATTAATTCTCGCTACAATCCAATTGTAAATAAGTTACTACAACCCTCATTATGAATACCTGGAAAAATGTTGAGTGAAACTTACGTAACAGATGGATCCCAACTCTGTTCGTTAAAGAGAAAGATAAAAAATGTTAGGGGTAATATATATAAACATTAAAATAATCAGGAATAACTGGATACATTTAAACACTGGTTTATCAAGAAGACTGAGTGGACAGAGCGAGACACTTTTTTTCATGACCGATTTTCCCCAAAAGACCATTCTGCAGTACAGAAAATAAGAATAGAAAATAAATATGGGTAACTAATCTTCGAGACATCTACATGCATCTTGAGAGGACTCATCGCCTATAGGTGTTGAAGTGACTATGTTTCGTATCGTAAATGAGACACTAATCAATATAGTATTATGCTCCTGTTTTCCGATTTCGAAATTATATGAGACTGACAAAATCCAAGCATGGGTACAAACGTTTCTCTTGGCTTTTGCCAAATTACGCCAGATATTCATGTTAGAAAAGGAGATTTATTGAACAGCAGTTTATTCCTTATTACTCTTACTATAGAGTATTGAATAGAGGAAGAGTTGGTAGTTGAGGTCATATATCTCCATATACTGAGATGAGTAGTATATAATGCGTCGCACATGCAACAATCGTTTACGCTGACATGTAGTGAAAGAGAAAAGTTGTAAAAAAAGCTAGAGGTGGGAAGATCAATACATAGAATCATTCCATAAATTTATTGACTGATGATTAGAGACATGTTGATAAGTGAAGGCTTACTAACTGGAAGTCGCAAAAGACTCGTAATAAACTGTTGTAGACATTCAGTGATAGTGTGGAAAACTGGTTGCACTTGTGCTCATTCTCCGTTTTCCTCTATAAATTGTGGGTTAAGTATCATTCTCAACTCTCCATTCTTCAGTCGCGTTTGTTCATTGAAGATTATATTTCTGATATCTAGTTAATTTATGCAGTTGAGTGTGAGAAGATGAACAAATTGAGAACTTCTTCCATTATTGAGCGAAGAAATATGTCAATGAGACGAAGGGAGAATATTTGAAGTTCAGGAAGAGGATTTATGGGGTGTTTTGTTTCTGAGCTGGATAACAATCGTGAAGGTTTATTGTCTTCATAGACATCATTAGCAAGTGATAAAATCTAATTTCAGATCTAATAACAATATAACGGTAGTAGATAATATCTTCGAATAATTAACTATACCCTATAATATCACATTAACGTACTTCATTAATTGTTAGAGTAGCTGATGTATGCTGAACTGTCAGAAATAAGAAAAAAAGATAAAACAGTGAAAGCCGAAAATTAGGACAACAATAGAAGGAATTTATAAAGAGGACGTATAAACTGAAAGTGGTGGTGGCTTAAAGATTCGATGAAGTAGTTTCTCATTCAAGATTGACGAAACACGTTTTAAAATACATTATCTGTCCAACGAATACGCGAACAGAGATCCTAAATACATTTTTACAAACATGTGGGAATATCGATCTTATCTCGTTCAAAATACTCATTATATGGTTTCCACTTCCATTACAATTCTTCAAAACATTTGTGGAAGTTCTCGCTATTGGGAAAGAATTGCCAGAGATTAAATCTAATGCAAAGGGAAGTTGATTTAGTGTGTTAACTAGATTGCCCTAAATTATATAAACTAAAGTTTCTCTTTTTTTGTACAGACTATGTATATCTGTCTAAAAAATGCCTCCATTAAAACACCGAAATAGTAGATAAAGTAGAATAATGTTAACAAATCAACAAGTAAATTATTTGACAGCACAACGAAAAACCACATATCCAACTTTCTAGCGAGTTTACACATTTCGATCAACTGAATAATATAACTATGCATAAACTTCAGTATTTAGAAGGTTTGATATTAGCCAGATAGTCACAAGTAAACGTAAGAACATGACACGTGTGTATAAATATGAGTCACCCACACAACAGTGAGATGACAGTACGAAAATAAATATCGGAGTTGAAGCACCAGTTATGGTAAACAAGATTTAAAACGGAGAATATGATTCAGTAAGAAAGAATTTGCTGAATAAAAAGTGTAGAATCATTTAGAAACTCGTGATCTAGAGGTAGATTAACAGTGAATGAATAAATGTCACTGTAATCGATTCTTCAACGTGTCAGTCAGTCAGTCAGCTGCAACGTAGGACCAGGCACGTATATGCATCGGTCCAACTTGCCATACCGCATTAGCACAACAAGATGAACACCGGATTCATAGGAGTAGTTAATTCAGTGGTGGTAATATATAGAAGAAAGATTGTGTATAAGGAGATAGTAAAGGAAGAAAGAATTAGTTCGTAGAAAGAAAGATATGAAGCGATTTTAATCTCTTAGTTTAAAGGAAGACAGAGAGTGCATACACCTATGCCAATGTGATCGATTCCGAGCTGTCACAAAGAATCTCCAACCATTGGTTACGATACACACGCGGACCCTAACCAAGTTGTCTGCATCTACCAACATGGCTCAGACCAGAAGGTAGTGACTCCAAGCACTGATGCCACGTTTTGGTTTGGCCGCCCCTAACTTTCTTCCAATTATCCCCTGCACTAGTCAGCATTGCGCGTCGTGGTAATCGGTGTTCAGGCATACGCAACACGTGGCCCAATCATCTTAGTCGATGAAGATTCATAACCTCATCAACTGATTTACCATCATTCCCTAATACCCTGAATCTAACCTCACTATTACTTACCCGGTGATCCCAGCAGATACCCGCAATATTTCTAAGGCACCTGTGGTCAAATACTAGTAACTTACGAATATCTTCCACTCTTAAAGGCCATGTTTCGCAGCCGTATAGAAGGACGGAACGAACTGCCGCGCAGTATACTCGTCCCTTAATTGATAGACGGATATCTCGCCTTCGCCATAGATGACGTAAGTTGACAAAGGCCAAGCGAGCTTTTCGAATCCGTGCTGAGATTTCGTCAGACACCAACCCATTAGGGCTGATCAGACTTCCAAGATAAGTGTCACCTACCTCGAGTTACCGATTATGATTACTCATAGTTTGAATAAACCAACAGTCAATAACATTGCGGATCGATTCCACATCTTGGTTTAGATACCTCTAGCTTCCGGCTAAACCACTCCTTTTCCGACCAGCGTTGTGAATCGAGGTATGTGGTGTTTAGTAATTATCGTGTGTAATACATTTCCCGATCATATCAGTCATGAAGCAATCACAGCCTCATAAACTAATTTACCATATTCGTCTAGTATTATACATTTAACCTCAAAGTACCGATTGTCAGATATCAGTAACTTTTGAATGTCTTATACTTTTACTGGCTACACTTCAAAGCTGTAGAGTAAAATTGAGCAAACTGCTGCGCAACATACTCGTCCTTTGATTAGAGGACGATTTTCTGACCCACTACAAAGGTGATGCAAGTTGACAAACCCAAGATAAACTTCTCAATCCGTACCGAGATTTTGTCAATCACCAACACTCCAGGGCTGATGAGAATTCCAAGATGAGTAGTCGACACGCTTAACCACTACATTCCCTATCACACTCTAGAATATAATGTGAGGCGGTTTTGAAACATTTTGCATTTAGTGACTTTTAGAAATGTAATCCAAACATGCACAAGATTAGAAGACTACATGCTATCAGAGTTTTCGACAAACAGGATAATATTATATGCATGTTCTAAGTCAACAGGTGAACTTCACGGTCAGTAATCTACAATGTAGGACCAGGCACACACATGCATCGGTCCATGCTGCCATACCTCATTAGCATAATAAGATGAACATCGAATTCGTAGAAGTAGCTACATCAATGATAGAAATATATAAAAGAAGGATTGCATATAAGGATATAGTATAGGGAGGAAGAATTAGCTCGTAGAAAGAAAGATATAAAGTGATTTTAATCTCAGTTTATGGGAAGACAAAGAGTGTGTACACCTAGACCATTAAGATGGATTCTGAGCCATGTCACCTAGAGTCTCCAACCATTGGTTACGATAGTCGCGTGGACCCCAACCAAGTAGTGTTACCTACAGCCGATATCTTTACCATCTCGTTTGCTTTCGTTGCCCAACACTGCTCACGGTCGCTCCTTAGACCTTTGGTTAATCTAGATTTGCTTTGTTTCCGCTCATCATCGTGTTTAGAGCAGGATGGGAAAATTCTATTAGTACAATAGATGTAGCAGAAATCCACTGATTTTTCGTGACCCTGTAGTGACCTACTTTTGTCAACAGAACGCGATTGGTTCAATGAAAACAATTATTATTATAACCAATTGTACCAGTGACTGTTTTACTGTGCTCGTTTGTATAACTATGCTAATGACAGCCATTACACTTATTCTCCCGTTGACTTTGAACTTGTACGAATTCGGTTAAGCTTAGTAACCACGCTTGTACTCCTTTGGCATGATCTCGGTATTCTTTCGATACCACGAAATCGCCAACAAATACATCTCGACTACAGCCATCATCTGCCTTCTGATATTGGCCTATGGGAATCTTATTGGTTAATTGGCACGGATTTGTAGCGGTGTTCATAATCAAGCGAGATTCGACACCACGCTACAACCCTTTGGTTCAAATCACTAATGGATGTCGCTGTTGTTTCCACAGCTGTTCGTATATCTTTCCAAGCAACATCTACGTCAGCCTCGTTTTTCAAACTGCCTAAGAGTGACCTCAGTTGCTCTTGGAATCTACTTTTGGCATTCTCATCACTGAGTTCGACTCTGATGGATATTCTTAATGTGTTTTTTGCATCCAGTGAGGTGCAAGCAAATGTATGCTCGTATTAGAGCATGGTCAGAGTCTAAACATGTACTCCGGAACGAGCGACATCTTCTCCATCGTAGGAAGTCAATCCATGAAAGGTCATATGATGAGAGCGTTATCTCTTAAGACATGTCGATAATAAAGTTGAAAAGTGAGGAAAGTAGGGAAAGGTGATGAAAGCCACTTGATGGTACCAATTCTGATGACACATAGCCATAAGGTCTGATAATGAATGAGCCTTTAGAAATTTTATCTATTTATTTGGCAATTATCTGAATAAAAGACATAATTACTCCCTTGCATTGACTAAAATTAGATCAACAAGTATGTAGGTAGTAAAGAGCAACTATTTTATTTGGTGTGGGTTCAAATATTGACTCTGTATATATAAGTTTGCTTGTTTGACTTTATTCACTGATTGTCCACTTCCTCTCACCTTTCATTAACATTTTCCTATTAATAAACTTTCGCATCCTCAGCTTACACTCTGAAGAAAAAGTGAGTGTTTGAAGTTGTCAAGACACTTGAGAACTAGAACCTAACGACCTACAAATGTATAGTGACAAGTATTTAGGGATCGCGTATAAATGGTTGGCGAAAATAAAACGAAAAAACGTATGAGACACTTGCGTTTAGTATACAATCTTATAGGTTATGTTAAAGTGTACTTACTAAAAAGATGTAAAATACCCATTTGTAGTTGTCCAATTTCTGGCAAAGCTTTTCTAATCTCATCCGTAACATAGTGACATCCACGTGACTGCTTTTTCAAAGTGATAATTCGCTGAAACCAATAACTGCCAATTGCAGAAGTCATTATCTATGTGTAGAATATAAACAGACATAAAACCATTGTTGACGAATAGTTATGTATCTATAATGTTTATAGTCAAAACAAAATAGAAACCTATAGTGAGCACTATGGGATCTTTGTTACAATAAAATAGTGGTATTGTGTGTTATTGATTTGAGTGTACCGTCAATATGTCCAATCTAAAGATGCTAGGTCCTCGTACATGATCTATTTAATGTGATGGTACACTGTTTTGTTGTTAATCAAAGGAAATAAGACGAATTCAGTCAGGTTTTAATACCACTGAGTTGGTATTTAGCGTAATGTTCTTTGATGAAAAGACAAAATCCACAACTGGTCAGGTTTTCGCATACTAAACAAGTAAAAACAAAGGAAAGTGGTCCAACAAACAGTTTATTAATGACGTTTATCTTGTTCTGAAAGATATTACTCCAGCTCAAAATAACTTTAAATAACTAGAGGATTCTAAAACAAGTTTGGTTATGCAGCTGAGAAACTAATAGCAGGAAATATGGATAATCTCGAACCATACAAACTTTAAAATTTTACCATTCAATTTTTCACATCTCTGATAAGGAAGTGGATTTTTATTTATTTATTTTAACACATAGATATTGGTACAAGGAGGCACCAAATACATATGCGCCACGCGAATCTTAATTGATTTGTGTGAGGGCTGTGATACTGCCCACACCCCGAGCCTTCGACCTGAAGATCTGACCCACAAGGCAGTGGAGCATCGTGAGGAGAAGTAGTCCCATGGTAGCCGGTGACCAACGATTGGTTCATACTCCGTTTGTTCCCTCAGGCAGGATACTGGAGCCCATGTGCACCAATGGTTTGGGATCCGGTTAGAGCGCCGGAAATTCGCTTTTCGTCCTCTCATTTTCGTAAACAGCACCCCCGCCATGAGAAGGCAGTGAGTAGGACTTCCCTGACAGAGGCTGTATACGCGTGACCATGTGAGAGCATTTCGAGAGGTAGGGCGAACCCACCCCACTCTCGGCCGTACCAGGGCATTTGGGGGCAAGGAAGTGAATACCTTTTCCTGATAAGTAAAGAAGAGTGTCATTTATGTGTTATGGTAATTATCTAGTACCTTTATTCCTTAAAATACATCAGAGTTAAAAAATAATACGAATAATTAGAAACACTGACACATTCTTTCATCAACATTCATGACAGAATATTTCTACAGAAAATAAAATCTGTTTCATTTCAATAAATTTTGAAAAGATCTCATAGGAAACAGGTTTTACAAAACAACAATATATTTACAATAGAGTAAGAAAAGTAAAGACAACAATACAAGAAAGGTTATTTAGAGAGAATAAAAAAATTATAAGCATTAAAAAAAGTAAACAAAATTACCTGGTTGTATAGTAATGCATGGAATAAGGCAAAAAGGTGAATAAAAAAAAGAGTAATACAATTTCAATAAAATAGTTTAGTAAGAACGATTCATTTATTAAAAATAATTTACAATACCTAAACGATCTTTTAATGTTTTAGGTGTACGGAATTTTTCAATTATTTGTGAAACACTATGATTAGTAATTATATCATCTTCTTTGTCAGTTGAACAAGAAGAAGATGAAGAACAACAACTAGAGAAGATTGATGGTGATAAAAGATTGCAATGTGAAATTCTTCTTTCAGATACAAAGGAATTGGATAAAAGTGAAGTTTGCAATTGTAAACGTGGATTATTAAATAAATTAGACAATGAAGATGAGCGTTTGGTCAAGTTAGAAAACGTTGGTTTTAATTCACTACTCAATGGAGATGAAAATGGGAGTACAGTGGAAGGAGACGGTGGTGGAGATTCGCGACCAATGTGATTGTACACTTCACTATCACTATTATAACCATTATTCATTCCGGAAATGATGGATTCAGGCAACATATCCTTGTGATTTCTGTTTACGCCATTATTGTAATCACTAGTAGTAGCAATCATAAGAAATATTTGGGAGAAAAAGAACGTAAAAAGTAGTTAATGCAACTGAAAGGATTGAATTAAAAACAGCAAAAGCTAACACGCACATGGCCAATAAAAATAGATACTCGTAGGTTACTAGTATTAGATCATAGGTGTCTTTGGAGTATTGTTTGTGTATTTTGGGACCACTGAGTTAGCAAATCTGAGGTAAGATGCAGAGTACTAAATAAGGATGCAAATTGAACGAGATAGTAAATCGTTATCGAGTGAGATGGTTCGGACATGTAATACGTTTGCCTATCTACAGATTACCTTGACGAGCAATGACAACTGTTACAGGAGCAAGTTGAAAGAAACCTAGGATCGGCCAAACCAAGATGTAGCATTAGTCCATGAAGACACCTAATAATCGGCTAAGTCACGTAGGTAGGTGTACACTACCTGGTTGAGGTCCACATGATCATTATAACTGCTAGTTAGAGACTGAAATGACATGGCTCAAAATCGTTACACATGGTCAAGGTACATACACTTTTCGTCACTCCTTAGATTCTTAGTTTCTAAATTCTTTACGAAAACACTTTTATTTCACTAATTCATATTTTCTTCAATCGTATCTTCTATTCCTGGTCGCTCCTACTACTACTAATGCTGTTACTACCTCTGTGACTCTGGGATTCGTCCTAACAATTTCATTTCGATATACTGATGGGGTATGGGAGCTTAAACCGATATGTCGGGTTCTACGTTGCGTTTGACTGACCGACTGGTTAAATCACCAACTAGGTACAGATCAATATACTTGGGCTTTGAGCTACACTCTACGTTTTAAGGCTAGTGATACTTCTCAGTTGTTCAAGCTAAAGTAGGTGGAATATGAGTTCGAATATGTAAGGTAGTAGTTAAAAGTCTAATATCTTAATCATTAAGTCATCACTTCACAATTCATAGATTTATTTGAGGCTATACTACAACAGGTAGTTTCGAATTTCGACGTCAAATGACTAGGTTAAAAGGTAGACGGTCCCAAGTGGTACTGGAACTGACTTACAGGTTATGAATAATTAATAGTGTTTTAAGCGATAATTTAACATTCCGAATATAAACACGTTTACAAGACTAGCTAAACATAAGAAGAACAGGAGTAATAGTATAACAGCAATACATTAGACGAAAACGAGTTATTTTCTACCAGTTTTAACAAAATGAGGAGATAGTGAAAGACGAGTGATATGATACCATTCAGTTACAGTGATATAAATGTTATTCCACGATTCCTGATCATAGTGTTATTTCCTGATGTTTTACTTTCCACCGACATGGATAGCACTGTTCCCCTTTCCCTACTTTTCATCTTCACTTCTTCGATCGCTGTGGTTATATGAAGTGTGGCATCTCGTATTGACAACAAATTCATGTTAAGTCATATTTCTTCTATGTGTGACTTGTGGAACATTTGAAATAGTTATAATCAAATAGAGATAGTAACGCTCAAAGTGTGGTTCGCGGTACTTATTCTTTGATAAGTAACTCCCAATATTACACAAATACTAATTAAGAAGTCTATCTCTCGTTATTGAGTTTTATGTGCCAGTCTCACAATCAGTATCAATCCCAGTAAGGGTTCAGCACATCATTCATTGTCATTTTATGAGATACATACCAATAAATTTGCCGATTGATTTGTCATCACTAATAAAAAAATTCCACTAATTAGTCTAATCATAGAACACAAAGGAGAGACCGATAACCAAACTGAAGAAACCTCTTATTCCCTATGATTAACACTTTACCTTCACAGCTGTTAAGTAGAACGGAATATAGCTCAACAGTATGATGGATATATAACATATCTTTTCAATAAATACATGTATACTAATACATGTTTTTCTAATGTGGAAAATGAATTTATTACTAAATAACATATTGAAAACCCTCTGAACTTACACATATTCATTTTCATCACTGTTTGAATTGTCTGATTCCCACACTGGATATTTAATGAGATTAGTAAGCGAAGTCAAAATATTAGGACTTTTGTCTTGTTTTGATTCACTCTTATTTACTTTTTTAGTTGATATAGTTAAACCTTTGAATGCTTCATCTAACACAAGTTGATTTTTGTCAATTTTAGACGACTTCGATTTTGTTTTTTTCTTTCCAACTAGAATTTGACGCGTGGAATTTTCGTACACAGAACAAATTTCACTATGAGCTTTACGAAATTCTACTTGTGGTACAGAAAAATAATAATTACAATTATCAGAAATATTCATATTCTGAACATTTTCATCATTGGGATGTAGAATATTTTTCTGTCCGGACCATTTATCAAATCCTAGATATAAATAAAAATGCGAAAAAAGTAGGTATAAACAAAACAAACTAGGAATACAATACACCGTGTACAACTTAAGCACTCGAACGCTAGAACCCTTCAAGTCGCAAAATCAGAAGACAGAAAACGAGTGAGAAGGAATGTTGTTCCAACAGTGTCAAATATAGTACAAAACTTTCAGGTATTTATAGTTTTTAGTAAAAGCGAAATCATCATTATAATCATCCAATCCGCATACAGTGGTTTCTAGATTTCATCCAACAGGGAAGCTACACATCGAGATTCTGCAATGTTCCTCCAAAAGATGAATGGATGGAATGTCTTCGGCTCTTTATGAGCTTCTTAGGACTTCCTTAAGTTCACTCATGGGCCGTCCTCACAACCATAAACTAATTAATCACTGATTATTGAATAGGGTTATATTATCTCTTCTTTATAGAGATAATGTATTTATACTAATTGAGCTGTAATGTGACTAATAGTTTAGGTTACATGATATTCGAGGGAACTTTCTTTTGATATTTGATGGTTAAAATAATTTAATAAAAACCTATAAAACCAGGAATTGTGCTGGATGACACTTCTCAACAAGGTGTATGAGTAATTTTGAAAAACAATGATGTTACAGGCGTCATATTCAGATAGTCAGGAATATTCTAGCTAGATGATTAAGATTTACTACAAAAAAGAATCAAGTTCAATCATTATTTTAGGTAATTTTTGGTAACTCATTTATATTCTATTTGCATTTCATGTTCAGGTATCTTTTAAAATGAAAAACGAAACATTTATTTTGTATTGGCTATTTCTGATTAAAAGTCCTTGAAATTATTTCACTAATATGTAATTTCTCAACACTCGTTCAGTCAGTCAGTAAGCTATTTGTAATGAAGACGATTACATGTGAAGTGTTTGAGTACTAGGGAATAAAATGAAATGAGTGCCAAACTTATACCTATGTGACTATCAGAAAGAAACTAAACAATGGAACAGGATTTTTATTGTTTTAGGAAAACCGGTTAACAACAAACTAACCTCAAACATTCAGTAAGAAAATGATTCAATCAAGCTGATTTTCAACTAGTCATTGTTTGCATATGTTTTAGATTTGTTTTTCTATTTATTTATCTGTAATCTTAGAATTTCCATTTTATCCAGATTACTTGTACATTAATTCAGTAGAACTGAGTTAAACTAAGTTAGTTTGAAAATTATACGCAGATAAGAAAGTAACATGTCATTGACATCCGTCTATAGATAACCGATAAAAGTACACTGAACATAAGAGCATCCACTAAAATAAGTTGACAAATTGCAACTTACCCAATCTTTCCCACTCGACTTCGTAAGAGTCTACATAATTAACTATGCGTTTCTTTACTATCCTATAAGGAAAAAATATACTTAGGTTAAAATGCCAGAGAAATAATGTACAAGCCCAAATAAATTAAGAACTAAGTACAGGTGATTAGTGAGATAAATTATTAGAGATTGAATTCAATCAATTATTAAAACTTATCAACGGTCTCTTATTTAAAATTTGACCAGATTTGTTAAGAAAGTGAACAATACTTGAGTTGCTACCTTGCAGTTTAAATATTTCTAGGGGAGTAAAGCTTTTATGTAGTCAACTAGAGTCAACACAGGTCCCTACCACGAACGTTTATTGATTCAAGTTACCTCATCTGACATCACAACAAAATAGGAAAATAACAAGATAAATACCAAAGGAGTCAATATAATCTTAGTAGTAATAATGGTAAACAAGGTTAAATATTGGATATGGTTACAGGAGTAATGAAAAGGTATGTATGGCGGAATTCTGAAACTTACGATCTAGAAGATAATAAATGGATCTAAATGCCCTACTAAGATCGATTTAGAGATATGTCACTCAACATCTCCAACCACTGATCTCAGTTATCCCGCAGATTACAACCAGTTAGTTTGAATCTACCGATATGGCTCAGTCCAATAGTCAGTGATCTTTATGGACTGATGACAAGACTTAGTTTGGGTATCTTCATTTTTCGTCTAATCTATTATTATACCAACCAATATTATTCGTCGAGGGAGTTGGTGGTTGGGTACAGATAACGAATCTCCTCGTCACTTCAGCTGACGAATATCTTCAACCCCATCAACCGACTTGCCAGAAACCTACCTGTAACCTAACCCTTGCTAACTCGATGGTCCCAAAACACATGACCAATGTTTTGAATAAACTCATTATCGAATACTAGTAACCTATGAATGCCTTCTACATGTAAGCGACACGTTTCATGGTCAGAAAATGAAACACAGTGAAATGATGCCCATCGTACTTCCCGCTTTGTTGTTAGATGACGCAACGGGTAACACGTTAGTAAATCTCAGGCGAGCTTTCTGAAATCGTACTGATGCACTGGGGAAACATACAAGATAAGTGATCGAAATCTCCCCAGTAATTTAAAATTACATGGCGCTTGAAGATCGGAGAGCGGGCAAAATCAATCAGCTTCACTCAGTAGTATTTCATGAGGTTAATATTTTAAATAACATGGTTAAAGTGCTTTCGAACACGAAACAATAATGCGATCTTATGATCTGGAGATCCAATTACCATTTTAATGGTGCATCAATATAATGAAATTAGTCAAGAGTAAAACAGTTACTGTGACAATTACGGAATATCAACTAGATATATTGCCCATAAGTAACGCTAATTTTATTGTAAATGTTTTCTTAGTCAAAGTTTATTATTTAGCTAGAGGCTAGTTCCTTGTTAAAGATTCATATATTTAATGTTCATCCCAGAGAGCAATCTTGATAAGTTTGTCTCTTGTTTGTGTTTAACGTCAACTATTTGTTCCTGGCCTCCTCACCTTGGATTTCAACTAGTAATTTAAACAAAATTTTTCCAAGTAAATATCAGAATATGGAAACAGACAACTGAATGTTACAAGAAGCTACGAAAATCTTATGACTTTATTCAACCATGGTGTGTGTATATATTCAACTGATAGGTGCTCTTTATTCTATTTAAGAGCTGTGATGTCGATTCGCAGTTAACCAGTTGTTGGTAAATAAAAGCAATCATATGTCCAAATTCTACACGTAACCGAAAACCAATAATAAATTAAGCATAAATGAATAGTTGATTAAACCGTTTAAATATACCTTAAAGGTTTCAAAATAACAGAATCATCGATTTGATAATCAATCAACGACTTGATATATGAAGGCGAATTATAAATTTGAGGATGTCTTAAATCCCATAATGCCATAACTGGTAGAAAATGTTGAAGAGTATAGGCTGGATCCCAATTTAAATGAATTTGACAAAAAGATACAGCTTTTCTTGGATCTGGTCGTTTCCACTGAGAAACAGATTCCTGTTTGGGTAAGATCCAATTACGATTTTCAAAACTAGTTAAGAACTCTGCAAATATCTAGAACAAAAATAAATAAATAAAACTGGATATTCAATAAAATATTTGGTTAACATGATAGGATTTTCGAGGATCACGTATTACATATGTTCATGTATTAAATTTGAACTGTTTCAATTAGTGGATGTATTCTTGGAATTCACTGATGGATAAAACAAAGACACTCAGAGTAAACGTATCACCGTATATAACTCAGACAGTACATGAACCATAATTACACATGAATTTAAACATTCCCAAAAAATACATGCGTGGATGAAATGGCATCTTGTTAGTTAGAAAATACTATATAAATATATTATATAAAAATAGTGGTAAAGACTGTCATTGTCGTCTTAAAAAGACAACATTCCACTCCAATCAATTGGCTATTTCGTACTTCAAATTACTCTACTATGATAAGTGAGTCCTTATATTTAGCTTCGTAGTTTTTAACGACGCTCATTAATTTCAATGTCCATACTTCAACAAATGATTAAACAGATGGATGTAATATATATATTTCGGATAGTTAAACATGGATCAGTTTTATTCTATCTTGCTTGGTCTAATCATAAATAAAATGAAAAATTAAATAGGATACACGAGTGTATATTGGAAGTTGAAACTTATAGTTTTAAGAATTTGATGTTGACGGAATGAAGAGAAAAAAGAGGATTACGTACAGGCATATTTTGAGTTAGTTCATCCAGTAAATCGGTAGTTCAAGTGGTCGACTATCATAATTAAATAACTCTAACAGATTTCGTGTTTATGGGATAGGTAGTATTTTAACTTTGAATACAAATAATAATAAAAACTTAGTTTCTGGAATACATAAACAAAAAAAATCTACAACTACTTGGCGTTCTAGGCAGGTGTAGACTACCTGGTTCGAGTTCACATGATCATTATAACTGCTAGTTAGAGACTGAATGACATGGCTTAAAATCGTTACACACGGTCAAGGTGCATACACTTTTCGTCACTCCTTAGATTCTTAGTTTCTAAATTCTTTACGAAAACACTTTTATTTCACTAATTCATATTTTCGTCAATCGTATCTTTTACTCCTGGTCGCTCCTACTACTACTAATGCTGTTACTACCTCTGTAACTCGGGTATTCATCCTAACAACTTCATTTCAATATACTAATGGGGTACGGGAACTTGAACCGTCATGTCGGGTTCTACTTTACGTTCAATTGACATAACTATTTAGTACAGCTCTACTTAAGAACATGAATTTATAGTCTGTTATAACTTGTAGTCTTTGTGCCCTGTTAATGTATACGTAATGTTACCACCAATTAGAGAACAGTGAATTATCAATCGAACCAATGACGCATAAGAGTCCTTATCGGTCCTGCTTCCTGCCTAGCCCAGCCAGTTAACTCTAGAACACCAATCTCAGCCTCTGCAATATCAGTCATTTATTTCAAACATACCAGGTTTATATACCAACCAGATAGACCACATCGTACCATAAAATAGGAAACAACATTTGTACAAGATTTAGCCAAATGTGGTTGTGAATGTGGGAGGTAGTAATTAATAAACATGGCATAATTCAAGAATGGTAAATCTTAGAATAATAGTTCACAGGTCAAAATAAAGCTCCTAATAAGAGGGACATGAATATGAATAGTTTAGTTACTTAACAATCATACGACAAAAATATACGCATAGTATTGGTCCATAAATGGATCCCGAAAGTTACCATTCATTGTTCTTATCGGGATATAACATAGTCCGTAACAGTAAATACAAAAATAATGGAAACCTATTTTCCCAGAACCCATTTGAAACTTTGATTATTTATTTGTTGTTGGGACGGCCTATATTTATCCGGTTGTGAATCTTTATCGAATGAACTGCTGAAGACCTGTTAGACGTATGACAAGTCACTGCCTACCCCAAAGTAAGAACTAGAGGGTTTTTTGCCATAGGTCAAGATTATTTCAACAACTTCAACCAAGAAGTCTGTGCATTTTAATATGACTCAGACTAACAACTAATGCCATCACGGCCTGATAAACAATGATATAATTAGTCAGATTCCTTATTTCCGGTAACTTACTTCTTCGTACGGACAATTCTTTAACTCTACGCCAACACGCAGCCACATTTTTATAACACTTGGACATAAATGAAGACCAAATGGATTGAAATTGAAATCTTCGCAATTTTGTGGACAGGTACTTGTTAACCAAGACAAAAATTTAATGAGGAAATGCTCGTCTACATGCGAATTCGGAGATTTCAAGGATGCAATCAAACGTAAAGCTCCAACTGGACCTAAACGAGAGACACCACTTGCCCAATAATCACAACCCAACAAAATGCCAAGTAGAACTAAATCACATTTTGTCAAATTCAGTACGTCGCGTATACGATGCATGTGAAAAACACAAACACTGGAGTCCTGAAAAAGAGAAATGAAAGCGTGATAATATCTAGAATAATATTCATAAAATAAAACTGCAGTTTTAGTAACTACTTAAGGGTTAGTTTATCGGGCTATTACTAAAACTGACCGTTCTAATTTCGGTATACAAAACATGGTCGAACTTTTGTTAAAAATGAATTTACAGCTCATCGCATCAAAGCGATTCATTTTTAAGAAATGTCAATTTAACATGGAGAATTCAAAAACAATTAGTAAACTCAATAGTTCTAGAATCAAAATGAAACAGAAAAACAGAGGGAAGAAAATACTTTAGCTTTCTGAACAGACTAATAAGTACGGTGAAAAATCATTACGTCGAGAGTATGAGATAAGAACATACTTAACGACAATAAAAATTTAAACTTTATCAAAGACTACAAATGCTGTGATAAAAAGCCTTGGTATGATATTCACATTAATTGATAACTGGTAAGCAACTAGTATCTTACTCTGGAGTTCTTAACACTGATTGAATTCAATTGGTAGGAAAAATGGCAACATGGTCATTAATTTAAACAATTCCAATTTCATGTAGTTTGTATTCGATGCTCTGTAGTTGAACGTAGGCTGTAAGTAGCCATAGCTACCGCATCACCCAACGTAGTGATTAGAGACAGTGCTACTGAGTTACTTCAATCAAGACTGACTTTATTCAACAATCTCATTGTAAAAGTGGTCGACTGAATACAGAACTGAAGACTAAATAGAGTAAGAATGGTTGCCATTCAAAGCAAAATAAATCAGTTCTACAAATGTTCAGTTGTGACTTAAATAGCTCCGTCTACAGTGCTGATTGACGAGGACTTAAATCCGATTCATTGAGGCTTTGGAAGCCCTTTGTTGATGAATACCTGAGAAACTTAGACCTAGAGCCCCTTGTTGATTATCTACAGCCAACTAAAATCTAACACTGAAATAACTTCATAAAAAGGTCTTGGTTTATTCATGTACAGATAAGATTAAAGGAGAAACGAAAAACGACTATCGAATAAACTAGCCGTCAAAAAGCAATAAAAGTTGGATGAAATACATATGATTTTCATGACATACCCGACTATCCATAGAGAAATGGCGATAAACTGTCTCAGCACCATACAGAAAAGCGTCACCATCATTTGTGATACAAGCGTCTACTAGCTGAAGGGATAAATGAGAAAAAAACATCTTTTATCTTTAGATAGAACATTCGTGTTCTTTAAAAATATCTAATGAATAAACCAAGGAATAATTAATAAAAATCAGTTATCAGAGAACGTCTATGGATTTGGTGAGAGATTGGATAGAAACGATAGGTCTAAGTCCATGGCTTAATGGTTGAAGAACAAATATTCAAACTACTGTGATATACTTATACTCATTTAAAGCCTATATGAGTAGTGTAAACTGAGAAATGAGGTAACTGTTATGATAGGACGAATAATGGGAAAGTTGAAATTTTCAGTCATTTTTACCATATAATTGATAGATAACTTTACTGTTGCAGTTCTACGTCCCCTTATTGTAAGCTTTCAGTGGACCTATTGACTGTTATTATAAGTTTCAGTGTTCCCTAATTATTGCTACTTAATTACGTACTGCTTGCTCAGCCCTCTACCACATGGTATGATTGTGCTTAAAGTGTGATTATTTATTTGGTGCTGTATGTCGTCAGGGATCGTTGGTATATTATTGTATGAGTTTTGAGTCATGAATGGATTAGGCACAGCAGAAAACTAATCTGTTTTCTACTGTCGTCTCCTAACTAGCTTCCGGGTTGGAAGGGGCTCCAAGACTGATAAGTGTTAAGACCTTGATTGTTCTTGGTTGGTGTTACCTCCCGATAAGAACAATGAATGGTAACTTTCGGGATCCATTTATGGACCAATACTATGCGTATATTTTTGTCGTATGATTGTTAAGTAACTAAACTATTCATATTCATATCCCTCTTATTAGGAGCTTTATTTTGACCTGTGAACTATTATTCTAAGATTTACCATTCTTGAATTATGCCATGTTTATTAATTACTACCTCCCACATTCACAACCACATTTGGCTAAATCTTGTACAAATGTTGTTTCCTATTTTATGGTACGATGTGGTCTATCTGGTTGGTATATAAACCTGGTATGTTTGAAATAAATGACTGATATTGCAGAGGCTGAGATTGGTGTTCTAGAGTTAACTGGCTGGGCTAGGCAGGAAGCAGGACCGATAAGGACTCTTATGCGTCATTGGTTCGATTGATAATTCACTGTTCTCTAATTGGTGGTCACATTACGTATACATTAACTGGGCACACAGGCCACAAGTTATATCAGTTGGTCAGTGTATCAGTTCGTAACATGGATTATCGGTTTGACTGGTAATTACTATTCGAAATCTCTAGTTATAGCCGATGAGTAATTTTACAAAACATATTAGTAATGTATAGCATAAGATTAGTATCTGAAGCATTATAAAACAACAGTTACAAATGTAGGACTTCTATAATAACATATAGTGATATATCTATTATACAGCTACTGTCAGGGAAGTCGTACTCACTGCCTTCTCGCGGCATTACTGTTGTTTACGAAATTGAGAGGAAGAAAGGCGAATGTCCGGCGCTTTAACTGGGGTGGTGGGTATGGCGGACCCACCTAGAGGAGTTGGAAAATCCTGAGTGAAAACAAACGGCTACAGGATCTTGAAGGAACAAATGGCGTATGAACGAATTGTTGGTCACCGGCTACCATAGGACTGCATCTCCACTGTTTTGTGAACCAGACCTGTAGGTCGAAGGCTCCGGGTGTGGCACTCTAAGAAAATCACCTGCTTCGGTTTGGGCGTCCGGGCAGTATCATAGCCCACACACAAATCACGTGACTTGGGTGGCGCATATGCATTCGGTGCCCCTTTGTGCCAATATTTGTGTGTTCAAGTAAATAAAATAAATAGTTATGATATCCACATACTCCTAATGCACACAGTTAATTAAGGCATCTATAAACTACAATATGCCCTAAGTAAAATGTGAAGCAATACACTCACAGTTGATAGATTGGTGCTCAAACCAAAATGCTAATTTTCTATTGAAGGGGAAAGAGTGAGTCTTTCTTTAAAACTTACTTTACTTGAGTTAAGGAATGCGCACATAGCTTCAGCTTCTCCAGGACTCTGGACCCATGGAATGCCAAATGAATTAAGTAGTTGAATGCACTAAAAGATACAACAAAGAAATACTAAATTGAATAGTCATTGAGACCTCAACGTCGTTTTTAACATCTAATTTAACACAATAGCAAAATACCTCCATAAAAGTGACTGTTATTGTGGAAAAGTAGTTATTTTTTCTTTGTGTTACCTCCCACATTCTTGTCATATTGGTTAAAAGAAAATGTAACTCTGAGAAACGTAAGTAGACTAGACGAAAATGTGCTTCAAAGTTTGGTATATAACAGACAGTGACTACTTATTAGTCTATCTCATATCATAACAGGAACTATGCACCTGTGTTTTACTATATTTAAATCACTTCAAGCTGGAAACTAGAAAGGTTCAGCTAACTACATTGAACGTTTTAAATTTTTTTCGATCTCAGATACTAGTGTTCTGACAAACAAATAAAGAAGCAGAGTTTAGATGCTGTGACTTAATTGTTTTAGTTAGATTTCCGTAAATTCATCAATTAATCTATTTCGCCCTATGATACAACACTGTTAATACTGTGGCCTTGAAAACAAAATTATCATACTCTTGGGTAATTATCTTGGAACCTTAGAATCCTCATTAACTACTTACTTCTTGAGATATTTTTGAAAACCGTATTCTATTACGATTTGGTCTCGTACATTTCTGAGTTGTGATCTTCCCTGTCCTAGGAAAAGAGAATAGAACGAAAATAACGGTAATCGGCACGTTTTGAAGAAAACAGACATGAAAACTACGGTGATATAACAACTCAAAGTATCTGGAAACTATGCCTGTACGAATAAGGAAGAAATTAATATGACTGTTAGAGGGACAGAGCCATGATTAAAGTATGCTTCAGACAAAATGAAGTTGAGGTACAACCAATCAGAGCTAATGAATGTGGTGAGAAAACTTTAAAATTTCTTTGTATATCTTTATACTACATTTACCTAACTTTTTGTTTGCTTTGAGATATGTTCACGTTTCTGTTCAAGTCGTGCTTTGATACGGGAACAATTAAAGTGAAGTGTTCAACAATGGTAGGTCAAATAAAAATTAAAAACAACTGGAACTAACTGTTTTAATAAACAGCTGTCTATTTTATTAAGTTTATAAAGCAAGAACCTGCAAAATCATGTCATAGAATAATTTATAAAGGGATTTCAGTTATTCTAGTGGCTTTTAACCATTAATTCTATAACTGGATATCGAATTCGACAAATCAATAGTTAATTCTAGTGAGGAAGTAATATGATAAAAAATATATGCAGAATATGTAACTTGAAAATAACAAAACACGAACTGAATGGAAATGGAAGAAATTAATTTTAATTAAACAACATATCCTTTAATAAATAATGAAAACGAAAACGGACATTAAATATTCGCCTAAAGTGAGCTATTTCATTTAATTCCCAGCTATAAATTTCATCTTTATTTAAGTTTCAAACTAAAAGACTTAAATTGTTTGGTTTTCCTATGAGAACAGAATATGACAGTTAAAATGTGAAATCGAACACTTCCAAGTAAGTCGAAATGTAGAGACATAGTAGAAAGTTGCGTCTTCGATCCTATTGTTAGCCAAAATCTATATATGGTAATATGATATAAAACTTTAAAAAAAGAACGAAACAAGCTCAGTGGGTGATGTGTGGGCGAGAATGACCATGATTGGTTGTCTGCTTAGTCAGACATGTAGACAGTCTGACAGGTGTCAGATAAGTTATAGATTCCCTTATCCCTATTATTGTGACACGCACTTATTATTGATTGTTCATTTTTGTGGGTTGTGTCGGTTTTGGGTGTAAAAATATATTCACGTTGTGATCAGGCTAATTACGTGTTCTTGATCTGAGTTGTGTTGACGTCCTGTAGAATCGACACTGGGAGGGATCTAGTGTAGATAATCCGTTTAAGCGCTATAACACAAGACGAAGTAAAACCGAGCGTTATAACAGTGGGAATATGAAGCTTTAAATCAGATTATTACTTGGACCCGAGCCATCATTGGACATACAGGAATTCACCTATTAAGGAATGTTGAGCATCTGATAAATTTCACCCATTAATAATAGCGAAGCCTCATTTACTCTAGTTTCATCAGTCGACTAACACTCTACATCTGGAACAACATTCACCGCAAGAAACGTTACACCAATAATGACAAATATTTTGAATATATTCACTTTTGATTATCTACCCTTAATAACTACAACTCAATCAAACAGATGTGAGACGCGTGTTATAATTTCCTTCCAACTATTAGTTAACCACGTTAGTGGAATCAAATACAGTAAATCTTTGCAAACACAAAAATTCATCTGATATATGTGTCGGAATGTCATCAATCATCAACCTTTTTCGTTTAACTAACTCACTTTTTAACTTTAAACAAGAAATTTTTTCAAGTTCAACCTAGGTAGCTGAAACAGTGAAAACATACTGTAACTCATAAAACTTAGGGATGAAAGAGCACGTACAGGTGATGTGTTCTCTTTCTAAAACAACACTAGATCTAGCTTTATTAACAGCTTTCCAGGAAAAAACAACTCACCATTTTTGTTGTCTTTGTTCCATAACATCCGATTTTAGTGACGGAGCGATACCATCCAAAACTGCGACAGGCAGGGTATTTTGGCGTAACAGACCCACTAACCGAAAAAACAAATTCCTGCTTGTGGAAAACAAAAGTGGACTATTATATTGAGAAAATAAAGAATTCGGAGTTAGGTTTTCAAAGTAATAACTAAATGTTAATTTCGTTTATGTCTGGCTATAAGATGATACTGTTGATTTATTATAGACTATCACTATACAAGACATACCCGTTAGGTGTCCTGATAAAGACTTGATGTCAAACAAAATCTATGCCCAATCAGAAAAACAATGAGATATAGCTAATCAATTTGAAAAGTAGTAATTTGATTCAGCTATAACAGCTTTCTGCTGGATGAAATGAAGTTTTGACAAAATAGTTAAAAGTATGATAATCAAAACGAAAAAGATTTTCGTATCACTATACGCAGCAGCTGGATTATAAAGATATTTTAGATGAATGGCGGTAAATTTACCGTGGCAGAGGGTAGCCAGAAAAAAGTTCAATATTTCGCAACATCCGTCAATAGATGTTCACACGTAACATAAAGATGTTTTAGAGATATTTCTGAAAATCAGTGGAAAAATACGACTTAAAAATAGCAAGCAAATAATCTGAGCACGTTTGTGATATTTGATGTTTAAGATATGAATGAAAACTGGAAAGCTTTGGTAAGATATTAATTTGAGGCTTCAAACAGCCGTCAGTTTAACCTGATTGTAGATATTTGAAGCACATGCTGTGAATGAATTTATTACCAACTCATTTAGAAACCGGTCACATGTTAACAATCTGATCCTAAGCATATTCTATTCCAGGATACCACTCATGAAGCCGCTTTCTAGTATTTACAGTACAGTGTAAACTTATTGAGCACTGCTGACTAGCTGCGTTGTTCAGTAAAATGTTTCATCCCACTTAAGTGGCAACTGAAAAACCTTCTGGTTACCAATCGAATATATGTTTGATTTCGTTGACCACTCCTGTTTTTATTTTTTCAGTACAATTTAATTGCTATCGCTGATAAATATCAACAAATGAAATGGAATACAACTACCACGTATCCTGCCATATAGCTATATTTGTATCTACGATAAATAAATGTAGGGTAAACGTAATTTTAGTCTGTATGCGGGACCATATAGAAATTCATATGAAATCGTACCTTAAATGTAGTGCAGGTAAGGGTCCAATTGACTTATCTCCACAAATCCATATACTGAGATCAACAGCAACAGAATCGCAACCAATTTTGGATAAGGGGCGGTATTCTTGGACAGAAGAGAGTATGCCCCACAATCCATGGACTCCCATTCTGAAACTAGAGATCGAAGAACGTGCGAACCCCCAGCCCTTTCTCTGTTTCTCAAAACTCAAAAGACCTTGATGTACTATAACATGAGAGGAAGGTAGGGCATACCTAGTTGTGAAAATAAAATTAAACGCAAATCAAGATAAGAGCCGAGCAAAAATGATGGATTGGTGAATTCCTAATCAAAACGAAAGACCCCATACAAGTTGTGTTTCTATTTCAACTGCTAAGGCACTGGTGGTAATAAAAATAGCATGATTCGCCACAGTAACCGGACTTCACGTTTCATATCAAAGAGGTACAATAACTCCAAACATCACTGATATGTTCACTACGACGATGGATACTCAGAAACGACTTGTCATGGAGGTATAACTCACTTCTTTTGTTCGGCTGTATTACCTCAGAAAGTGACAAAATACTATTCAACGCACATACCGTTTTCCCAAGCAAGTCCATTGGAAAAAAATTTAGTCGTTTGGTAACATTACGTGCGTAAAGATGAACAGTGGTGATATTCAAGCTATGAGCAGATAATACCGAGTAACTTACTTGACGTTTGGGGAAATCCGGAGTCTTCCCCGATATTTTCTCTGAATTCCATAACCATTTAGGTTTTTCCTCCAAACTTTGAGGAAGACTACCATATTTTTTATGACTTTGGATAAAACACCAAAATATACCCAAAGTTCCCCAAAATAGGGAGATTGGGTACTTACTAGGCCTAGTTAATGAGGGTTATATATTAGTGTGAGGAGTTGAGACTAATAGTTGGATGTTGAGGTTAGGAATTGGACTTAATATTATCATCACGAAGATTCAGCTATAAGGCCAAAATGGTATTTAACCAAATGAGTGAATGCATTAATGCATTTCGCGCCAAAATCCAAGATCTCATCTCTTAAATGTGATTGTGTCGTCCATGAGTTATAGTCTCGCGCACAAGTTTCACTTGTATTGTTATTTATTCACTGATTTATGGAGATAAGTGAAAAATGGGCACATACTCTCAAGACGATAACTAGCACCACAAGTATGATGTGAAGTAACGCGACATACGAAATATGCGCTTTCAGTCTTCAGTAGGAAGGATCGAAAAGATTCAAGTGGGTCCGGACTGAATGGACGAAGATTTCGCTTAAAGGGCTTCCGTATTTAGTGACAGTGGGTCTCTGATACTTTTAGGCAGAAATCTAGTTATATTAACGATGAAAGAGGGAAGCGAAAAAAATATTAAGTCACAGTAAGATGCTAACCTTAGTCCTTAAGAATATGTCATGTTTTCTCTCGAAGGACCTCCGGGAAGTCGCTTGGACTAGTTTCGTCGGCAGAGAATTCCAGCATTTGACAACTCTTAAGGAGTAGAAGTTGTGTCTACACTCCGTTCTGCTATGTTGTATCTCCAATTTTTGTGTGTTACCCCTAAGGTTTGTATTAGGACTTAGCTTAAGAAAACGATTAAGGGGATGTACAAAAGTATTTATGATACTAAAAGCCATTAGAAAGTCACTTTTAAGATGTCTGCACTTTGGTGGGTAAAGGTTCAGTGATCAGAGGCGCTCTTCATAAAGTTTGAATTTGAGTCCCAGGACTGATTTCGTGGCTCGCCTTTGGATACGTTCCAGAGTGTCCTTATCCTTTCAGAGTGAGGGAGAAAATATTATGTTTCCGTATTCTAAATGGGGACGAATGAAACTATTGAGAATTATGTAGAAAGATCTTCCGTCGAACTGGCCAAATATATGCTTCAATGTTATCAGTGCAAGGTTTGCTCGGAAGACATTTCTGTCACAGTTAGCGTAAGGCTTCAAAACGTAGGCTACCAGCACTCCTAAGTCTTTTTACTATTGGGATATTTTTAGAGGGGAGTCGCCTAAGTTGTAGCTGTAATCTGCAACATGTCTCAGATGGACTACTTTACACTTTGAAGTGTTAAACGTAAGTCCGTTATCTCCGTAGTACCGTAGTATAAGGTGTAATACTACTTTGAAATTTTGTCAGAGTATTCCGTCACGCAGAATGGGTGCGTATCAGTGGCATCCCAACCAGATGTGCATTTTATCTTTCACACTGTCCCACGTAGTCTCCAAAGGTATACCAAGTTAAAATAGTGTCCAACTACTCAAGGTTTGACTCCACTGCGCAACCAGTATTATAACTAGAAGTATTCAACTTGATACGCAAACTAAGAGTTAGCGAAACGGGTAGAATTATATGAGCGCAACTGAAGGTATTGTATTTGGAATTCGTAATCATCGGGCGATCAAGTACAAAGGAATAATTAATTCGTGCAATCACTACAGAAACGTTGTTTAATTTGAATACTGGCAGTTGCTCATGGATTATTCATTGTGCCGTGGTCAAACTGGAGAGCAAAACAAAGGTTTAAGGAATTACTTTGAAGATATTTGTTTTGGGAGATCTACAAGACCAGGAGATCACATACAACGCTTCATGATGAAAACCGAGATTCTTCGAAAGTCACTAGGTCGATGCCCCTACTAACCATAACAGCAACAGTTTTTACAAGTACGTGGAACATTGAGACAATGTGATAGACCGGGATGACCAGTACTCGGAATCAGCGAAACCCGTTGGACCCAAGCTAAGGCTTCAACATACACAAAGATAAAGGTAAATACAATACGGAGAATACCAACACAATCACTCTTGATGGAGAAACCCCGGAAAAGGTAGAATCTTTCACGTACGTGGGAAGAATCATGGATGAACAAGGAGGATCCGATGCAGACGTAAAGGCGAGGATTGGAAAAGCGATGACAGCATTCCCACAGTTGAAGAACATATGGAACTCAAAACAACTATCAAGCATTATCGAACTCAGAAACTTCAGTAAGAACGTCAAAATAGTTATACTGCACGGAGCTGAAACGTGGAGATCTACTTCAACCATCATTAAAACAGTACAAGTATTTGTAAACAATTGTCTACGCAAGATACTCAATGTTTGTGGAAATTTGATAAACTCAGAAAACAATTGTTATAATTTGTCAATTAAATGCTACTTGTTATATCTGGTCGTTGCTGATTGTTGTGTCGGAAATGCTTATTACTTATACTCATAACGAAGGACCTCTACAATTCCCACGACGCGAATGTAAGAACACAAAGACTATTACAAGTGATGATTTATTAACAGCAAAACACGACGGTGACGACTCTAGTCAAAAATACACTCATTTATATATTGATTCTTACATCCACTTTGATTAATAATTAGGATGAAATTACATATATAAAATACTCACAGTTATAAAAAATCACATACTGAGCATAGTTCATGTCAACTGAATACAAGAATATCGTATATTATACGGAGTAAAATATCATACGAGAAAAGAAATACTACATGGCATAATCATTACATTAAATCAAAACGGATGTAATGATGAATAAAACTCATATTGAGTAAATCAACCGAATCTTGACTTTTCTTTCCATCATATCACCTCCCCTTATTTTTTTGAGGACTTTATGTTGAGATCCATCTTTGATTTTTATGACTTCATCCTCGCCCACGAAATAATGTTGGGTCCTCATATGTCCAAGCTACAATTAATTTGACTTAAAACATATTTGTCACATTGAACAGAGAATTTACTAAAATTGACTAAATGGTGAGGATCAACAACTCTTGATATAAGGTCATCAAAGTTTGATTCTTCTGAAACATAGTCATCGGATTTCTTGAAAATCTCATTAGTAGATAGTCTATCACTAGAATGATCAGCATCTATCAAAATTTTGTTAGGTTCTTAATCACTGTTTGATGCATCCGACAAATTTTTCTCATTTTTGTAAGGAACTTGATCTAAAGCATATGAGTTATTATGATAACTCACATTTGATAAAACAACTAGAGAACTACAATGAGTGGATTCATCAGGAACTTTTGTTCTGGAATGATGAGCTACATTTGATGCGACTGTCTTCATTATGCTGCTTGATTCATTTTCTGTCTCTTTGTGGGTGGGTACTGTAATAATTTCATGTGCATTTAATAAGACGTCGTCTGTCTGTGAGCTGGACAAGTCAGTGTTTGAGCATGGTGTTTCGGGGGCAATGGGATTTGAACCCACGATAGGGCATATCTCTGAAATGGACATTTCTGGATCACTAGGTGGATCATGAATGACTGCCACTGCTTCGCTTACATTACTGCTCGTCAGTGATTCATAGAGGCTTTTATCGTCACATTTATACGTTCTGCAGTCATTTTCCAGCTCGGTATGCAAATTAGAAATAAATTTATCAACTTCTGTTACATCTCCAAAACATGGATGATTTAGCAGCTGTGTGTGTAAATTGTCTAAAACATTCAACTGGCTATTTTTGAACCGCTGCTGTTGTCGCTCAAACAGTAACTGTAAATGATCAGGATAGATAGCCATTTTCTGAATCAACACGGTAATGAGAAATATTGTATGATTAATTAACAACCAATGTCTTCCAAGGACACCGATAACAAATCTGGATGCTGATTGCTCGAAATAATTAGACTGAATTTCGTCCAATTACATGCTGAGGTTTAAGATTGAGAGTTCAGAATTTTTTCTTCTACCCCGTCGCCAGTTGTTATATCTAGAAGGCTGTTTACTTGATATACCACGTATAACTGAGCACTAGAACGTCAAAATCCTTCCAAGTCGCAAGAAGACAGAAGTTTAATGAAAGGAATATTATTCCAAACAGTATCAATTATATTGGAAAATAATTTATAAGAATATTCGTCAAGATTAGATGGAATAGTTTGACAGATATTGGGCGCCGAGTATAGAGAAGTCATTATATATGTAAATTATATTTGAAACAATCTCAGCGATTGAAATTTAAAATAATTCCAACGTTTCGTCCAGCCAACTTGTCTGGACTTCTTCAGGGTAATAATCAAAATTATTTTAAATTTCAATCGCTGAGATTGTTTCAAATATAATTTACATATATAATAGTATTAATTATAGCACAAAATTGTCAGGTATTT